CCTTTTCTTATAGCAGTAACCGAAAACTGTAACAGTATTTCTTCTCCCCACTTTGTCCTTTACAAGTTTGGGATTGCTAATTATGCCTTTCCAATTTCATCACTGATATTCAGCTTGGCATTTATATAATCTTAGCTTTTTTTGTAATTTCTTAGTAACCTCCAATTCTTTAGTTAACTGTGCATAACCAATTGTGGTATTTATTTGACTATATTCAAGCTGATCTTTAATTTGTCCATTTATCATCTTTTTCTCTGTACTGTATTTTAGTTCAATATGCCTTTTTGTTACTTTGATTTTCTTTCTTTGTTGCTTTTCTTCCTGAATGATTTTAAAACAAGCTAAGAAGTGAGAGGTGAACATATGGAGCCTTGAGGGAGGGAAATGGTACAAAGAAAAGAAATTGAGAAGTGAACAATAAGTAACCAGGAAAGACGGCAGAGACACTTATTACTGCATTGATGCCTCCCTGAATAACTACACATGTGTAAAAGCAAATGCATGCATAGAATGAACAAAACAACGTTTATTTATGATAAGGGATTTAATTTTTAACAATGTAGGCAGGTTAAGATAGGAGAGAGGAGATGGGAGGAGGGGATATTAAACTGGCCACAGCTGGACTAGACTAGACAAGATGATGTGATGCAGTTGTGGTGAAGCGTGACAAGAGACTTGCTGAGGTCATTTTAAGCTGTGTCAGGGAGGGAGACTTTGACAATCGTGTCATTGTGCTTTGTATTCTTTTATGTATAAAATAAATTTAATAAAATAAACACAATACAGTATATATATAAGTACAGAATACATTAATGTATAAAAGTCACAGAGGAAAAAGCCCAGGACAGAAAAAGAGAGACAGACAAGTGTTTTGGGAAAGGTGGGGAAGGGTTGGGGAGGGTGGGGTGGGGGGGGGAGACAAAAGACAAGCAACATGGTTAGTATTAGCACTCAGCAGCAGCAGCATCAACAGCAGCAACAATAACAACTATGACAAAATAATAGCAGATCAGTAAGGGTGCAGTTAGTGCAAAACTATGATTAAATTATTTTGACACCTACTGCTATAATATTGCTTTCAAAGGACTAAGTTAAGCCAACAGCAAAAAGCAAAGCAACTAAACATTAACTAAACTAAAATGACCTTTAAATATTTACATCACTAATGAAGATTTTAACACACGACAGAATGATTCACGACTGTGACTCATTCGTATTTATTAAAACTTACAATCTGGACAGAAAATTTGAGCATTTGTAAAATATTACAATTTCACCTTAATAACGTCTGTACACCAAGTTTACATTACTCGCTATATATTTGCAATATGAAAATACTCACTACAATATCTTATAAATATTCAGAAAAGAACACTAAAAATTGTCAGAAAAGATAAAAATGAGGTATCTGTTAATTGGTAGTCAATTTACATTATTGTAGATCTACAACTACTATACCTGCAACTTAATGTATGTATTACTACATTTGTGTTAGCGTGTTAGACATATGAAGCAGAAACTGCTTAGGGAAAGTGAAAATAAGACTGATGTTAGCAAATAATCCAAGGAAATTACTCTCCAAGACACTAATGAATACATAGTTGAAATGAACTGAAAGAATTAACAATATAATTATTCAGAATTGGTGTGTGTATTTAAAAAAATTTACACACACATCATTAATATGAGCTTTGAAAGGAATAATGTTTCATAAAATTATCCACAGCATTTCAACTGGCACAGAACTAAAATCCACAGCCTAAACAATGCCATTTGGCCTCAAAACTTACTATATGACAGTGACCTACTATACATCGACCAAGTTTTATTCTTGACACACATTTTTTTAGACACATATGACTATCGAGATATACCAAATCGAAATATTTACAGCAAACATCATGGACAGGTATGTTGTATGGCATACATACATATTAAAACACAAAACAACATTATTTGATTACACTAGAACAATCCCGGAATGGAACTATCAGGGAAAAGCGCCAAGCCATTACAACTACTGTATATAGCACTTGCAAGGGATCAGGATAAGAATTTTGGATGGGATGCAGGGAAAGGAATGGTGTCCAACCACTTGGACCATCTAGGAAGGTATTCCATGACCCCATGCTGACAAATCTCATAATACTGTACCAACAAAATTATGAAAACAAAATATAAATTCCCCACCTCACGATACTAGCAATATTATGAAACATTCTTAAAAACAAATCTTCTTATGTGCTATAAGCAATATTATGAAATTTCTTAAAATATAAACCTGCCCCTCTCATGATACGAGCAACATTATGAAGCATTCTTAAAGCAAAATACATCTTCACACTACTCAGGTACCAGGAATATTACTGATGTACTGTATTCTTAAAAATACAAATGTCCCCACTCCCTGATCTTTGAGTATTTTCTGTGTATATATTAGGTAATGTCTCTTTTTTTAAATGGTCCCTGTAATTGAGGTGATTTACAGTACAGTATCTATGCGTGCAGTATAGTACATGCTCACTTTATTCCTTATTTCAAAATTTGCTCAAGCCTTGAAATGGAAGACGAGTATTGAGTGGTATTCAAGGTGTTGGAAAGCACGAGTGATTTGAAAAGTAGCATTACTGTGGTGGCATCCATTGATTTGATGGTTTTCATAATCCACCCAATGATTTTGCAGGCTGATGCTACACTTCGTCTGTTATGCTCACTACCCCTGCAAACACACAATGTAATGGTCCCTATGATTCCCCTTGTTACAACTTGTAATAAAGTTGTTACAGCGTGTTATAATGCTTTTATGACGTATTAGAACATTGTTACAACTGTTAGGTGTTAAACCTTGTTCGAACGTTGTAGCAATGTTGTAGTTTCATCATGTGTTTGACGAATAAACATAAAATCAACAGACAATTCATTTATCATTTATTTACTAGTTTTGTTTTATGAAATCTCACTGCACCTTGTATCATGTATTCAATTTATGTTCCTCATTTTGCTGTAATCTAACTAGCTGGAATTTATCATTGTTGAATGTTATGTTGTATTCCAATGCTCATTGGAAGATATTACTAATACTGTATACGTTTGTAGTACAGTATTCAGTATCTCTCACTGTGGCAATATTCATTCTGATTTTGGTATTATCTGCAAAGGATGACTAGGTTGTAATTGCTAATTTTGTCTTTATCTGATATGAGGATAAAGAAAGAGTAGAAGTGCAAGGACAGTACAAAGGGATACAGAGAGTTTCATTGTGTTCTTGCTTGATTTTGTTTGATTTACTGTTACTCTTTATGACTTATTAGGGGGGGGGGGAATTGATCCTTCATTTTCCCTTTTGACATTATTACTTGGGACCACATTTTGTGTGCTATTGTTCCATGTTCATAATTACCAATGCCTTTTAAGAATCTGTGTCATTGTGTTCTTGCTTGATTTTGTTTGATTTACTGTTACTCTTTATGACTTATTAGGGGGGGGGGGGAATTGATCCTTCATTTTCCCTTTTGACATTATTACTTGGGACCACATTTTGTGTGCTATTGTTCCATGTTCATAATTACCAATGCCTTTTAAGAATCTGTGTACACAGCATTTGCATTTTTTCCAACACTGTACTTCCATGATTTTGTCATAGTCCTTACCTATCTGTGATAGTGCTTACCTATCTGTGATAGTGCTTACCTATCTGTGACTGGGGGGAACTGAATCTAGCTTATTTATACCTGGAGTGCTAATTACTTCTCTTAATGTTAAAGTTTTACTATATGTTTTCTTAAAGTTGTGGATGGAAGTGGCTTCAATAACTTTTTTCCTTCAATGCATTCCACTTGCTGATCCCTCGTACAAGGTATGAGATTTTATTTACATCTCTATAACTCAATTTTATATCCAGCTTCCACCAATGTCCACTTGTCTTACAACATTTCAATTTAAATAGGCTGCTTATGTCAGTATTGTCTATTTCCCCCCCAAAAAAGTTATGTCTTGGATGTAGTGATGATGATAATCCCTCTGTTTCTTCTTTCCACTTAAGTTGTGAATTAGTTCCATTAACCTGTCCTCATAGATGAGCCCCTTCTTAATTCAGATACTACTCTGGCAGCCCTCAAGCAAAGATTGGCAGATACAGTAACCCTGTTGACTTGTAGCTTGCTGCCATCTAGTCATAGTTGGGGGTAGTGGGCTAACAGTGAATTGGACTCTTGGTGGTAGATAAAGAATTGTCTCTCCTCTCTTCAATTCATGTGGAAGACCATTGGCAAAAACCTCTGTTAAAGTGAGGGGAGCAGGTCGACAGGTGGCATGTTTTGTGGTCTGGGTGGACCACATATTACTTATCAATGGTTTAGGGAGCAACAAAATGACTGCTCAGAAAGTATCAGTTCAATGTTTTCAATGCTCTATTTTATATTTTTTGTCTTCTTTCTTTACTCTGTAGAGCTCGGCTGTGAATATTTTTGCCTAAGGGGATGAATGCCTCAATTAAGCTCATAAATGCTGTAAGGATATGATTACAGTTGAGAAACATGTTTCCAAGTAAGCCAATCGGTCACTTATGTGCCTTCCCATTTTGTCCAAACTTTCCTTGTGTTTCCGGGATTCAAGTTCGGATGAAAATGAGGTTCACTTCCCAGGCTTTAGTGTTGGTGCAGATTGCTGAAGGTAGGATGGAGTAGCAGTCAGATGGCTAACTAGCAATTTAACAAGTGATATGATAGTCCAGTTAAAGCCAAACATTGCTAGGAGGATGTATTTTAAGTTTAAACAATTGGACACTCAGGTCATTCTGGGCAATTGAGTAAGAAACACCAGTGTTTCACTTCCCTCATTCATGCTTCGGCTGGGGTCGATTGAAATGACCCACACTGTGTCGGGGATGACTTAAAAAGATAAGCAAGGTATATTTATAGATAATTCAAGATAAAAAGAATTGACTTTACCTACACAACAAAAATTAAATTGGGGTTAAAGTGAAGATAGTAATGACTTACATAAACATAATATCAGAGGAGAGGCTAGAGATAGCATGCAGACCACGGGTGAAGCTCATGCGGGGCTTGTCATTGCGAGGTTCCTCTCTCAGGGACCCCTGCTCCCCGCCGTCAGCTTCTACACTACTGCAAGGCAACCACTTCATGCTGTGGCTCAAAAGGTATTGCACATGGCACTCATGCAGGATTTATTTAGCTCTTTTTTTACTTTTATTTTAGCTCAGAAACTTTAGACTCAATGGGAAATAAGCAATTACTTTGAGAGTTGGAGCATAAAAGAGAAACAAACTGGAATAACTTGACAATGATTAAATAGACACTCATTTATGCAACCATACATTTGTCCACGCACCCATAAATTTTCTCCAAACATATCAATCAAATGGGTGAAAAATATAATAGATAAGGTAAATCACAACCTCAGACATTGCATAAATAACTTCAACACATGTAGAGCACAGTAGGTTTGAAATCAGCAACTAACCAATACATTCAAAAAGCTTCAATCTCTGATGATTGCTTGATCCTATTTTGTATTTTTTCTCCCTCAAAAGAATAATTAGGGCAATGAGTTATATGAAATGCTCCTTTCTGTATAGCCACTAGGATGCTCTCCAAGAGCTAGGGATTCAGGACACTGCATGGGCACCAAGCTCTTGTTCACCCTCATCCCATTGTGACAAGGCAATCTTCTGTTTGCCATATAAACCACTACCAGAACAACCTCATACACAGGAGCAAGAGTAAAGCACTTAATAAAGGCCCCTTACAAACAATAACTGGAATCACCAGGACATGTAATTGTATTTCTATTAACTACTAGTTAATAATGCCACTTATGGCATCATTATCTGCCACCTATCACCAGGTGGCAGTGCAAGCTACAGAACAAGATCTGGAGAAGGCATTTACCCTCGCTGAAAGCTAAAGTCATGCAAACGACTTGCAAAGTATGAATTTTATGAGAAGTAATGGAAGCAACTGAGTGGCCACTCAGAAAGGAGTATTTCATATTACTTTATCACCCTATTTCTGAGAAAGACCTACATTGCACCCCAAGTCAACTCCTCATGGAGTTAGCTACAGCATGTTCATTAAAATAGGAAACTTGCTTCAGCCAAGCCTACAGAGGAAGACTTGGGGCATAAGAGAACAGAGCTGAAGACTAGTCACCAACCAAGAGAGGAATCAGAGGGAGTAAAAATTACCCAAATCCACCTATCACTACCAAACCAATAGCTTTTTCTTTTTCCTCCTTCACTGCTCTTACTATCTTTAATGATATTTCCTTGTCTTTGCAGCAAAACTGAAAATAGACTTGTTTCAAACTACTATACTATTTATACTGATCCACCACTTCCAGGATTTCTCCGTTTACCCTATTTCACACACTGAGTTTCCTTCTACAGCCAGTATTATTTCTGTTGTGCACAATTCACTTTTATCAATCTTGTACAATATACAGCAACAAAACTTCCAACTTATCTTAAAACAGCACTACAGTATTATATATTGTACCTTTTTTCAGTAGTCTAATCTTGACCTTCTGAATGACACCATCTATGTGCTTAACGAACAACCATGAAACAGAACAAAACCCTGGAATACTCCTACATTAATCAAACTAGTCATTCTTTGATTGTCTCTCACACATGTTCTACGTCCTACATAAAAGCTCTTCCCAACATTTATTAATATTCCATTAACTTCAAACGTGTTTCTCTCCGAAGACCCTCCCTGGTAAAAATAATAGGTCGAATATAAAGATATGACCTTTTCTGGGCAGTGCCTCAATAGCTTTTCTGGGCAGTGTCTCAATAGCTTTTTTTGGGCAGTGCCTCATTAAGCTTAGATAATAGTGTTCAAAGGCATCCCAAACCATGCCAGGCCCTGAGACTTACATCAATCCTCAGTGAGCCAGAAACAGAATCTGGCAGCTACAGAGGCGATAGAAGTATGAGGATTAAATATCAACACAAATACTGAAGAGACTGCCAAAAAAATTCTCAGGCAAAACAAACAGATGATCTTAAAAAATTAAACCCAGAAACATGGTAATCAATTGTTGGCAATAGTGAGCAACTACTGCCTCAATTTACCTAGCTGCCACCATATGGCAGCCCAGGTCATCGAGGACATTGATCTGTCACCCAGCTCACTGATGTGCCATCCCGAAAGACCCTCAAACCACAGTGAGAAGTATGCCATCTGCTTAAAGCTCTGTTTTCCATGGCTTCCAGGATGGAGACTTTGTTGGTTGTGTCATTCTTCTGTCATCTCTGAGGTCAGTTTCTGGCCACAGAAAAACTTGTCATACTTCTAGGTCCTTCTAATGTTTTGGCTGGTACAGTTTCCGTTCAGAGACTTCTCCTCTTCAAAGGATCAGCGTATCTTTGATGATCATGTTATTCAGTCTAGATCTCTACCTCTCATATGGCTTTAGTTTAGCCTATCTGTTTGCCATTATTTTTAACCCTGTCACTTATTTTCCTCTATACATGGCTATGCAACAACTTTGGTTGATTTTTTGCTTTTGTTGCAATATCATTTTGACCTCTGCTGCTCTAACTCTGGTTTACTCATATCTGATCCTCTTAAGTACCTTCCTATTTGTTTCAATACCCCATGTTCCTCTACATTTTACATGCTTTTTTTTGTGTCCTTACACTGCTGAACCATGGGTTTGCTGTTCTCCTTTTGTTCACTTCCCTCCTGAGAAGTCTCAACTGTTCTATTACTGTGATGCATTTCTGCATTTGCAAATTCCATTACCGCATTTGCCAACTTTCTTCTAAATTCGGTCTCCCACTGAATGTCCTACAGGTAGACCCTACCCTTCCTGTAATCCCCTCTTCTGTATTTTTTTGCACACTTTGTCCTCTTTCTTGGTCAGACTTCCTCTTTCAGTTCAACAATGCTCTGGAAGTTTTTCATACATACCAGTGCTGTACTCCCCCCACCCCCCCAAAATTGCTCTTATAAAGGTGATAAAAAAATCTGGTATTGAACACAGTAGGAGGAAGCTGGCTGGATCAGTCACTGAGTGCACTGACACAAAATGTGTAGTTGCAGACACTATGGTGAAGAGCGAGAGGACTCGGATCGTAAATTTGGAATGGTTTTTTACGTGTGTTGCTTCACTTTAGTTTCCACGAAGTGTTAATAACACAATTTATTTACATATTGCAAATAATTGAGAAAAGCAGTGAATGAGTACTGCACATAAAGCTAAAATTTAATATGTACACCTATATTGAACATAAACCTGCTCCTGACACACCTCAAAGAAAGTCTCTTGCAACCCACTCTTGCTGAGAAAAAGCCCAAACTGTGATTTGAAAATAGTCACAGTACAGTAGTACATGATAACTTCATTATAAAGAAAGCAATTACAAAATGGTAGTAGAAATTGGTAGTAGAAATTATTTGTTAAACACAGTGGCCTAGATCAACATATGATAACTGCTCTTTAAGAGTTAACAGACAACAATAAAGCCTTTTGTTACAGACAAATTTAAATAATATCATACGGGCAATAAAATTTCTTCTCTTGCATCAAGTTGTGAAGAAATAATGTACTTTGGTTTCAATTCAGACAAACAAAGTACAGTATTCACAAAAAAATGCAAAAGCTCACAAAATTTATGCATTCATATTTGTGATGGCTCCATTAGTAGTGAAAGCCGTCCAAAACCAAACAAGTCTACAGCAGACTAGGACATCCACAAATACTACAGTCATAGTCAAGTGTTTAATATATGGTTGGAGAAATGCTAAATTAATTTGTAATAAATTACATAAGAACTAAATTTGAACATGCAGCTGAAGTATTTTTGCCAACATGAAACATGAGCTATGAGGAAAGACTGATAGTACTGTACATGTCTAAATTAGAAGACTCAAGACCAAGGGGGAAATATTTTAAATTCATACTGGTATATTAGTTTAGAAAAAGATATGAGAAAACAAATAGAGAAGATCTTATGAAACCTTCAATAGCCAGAGCAAAAGGTATACAGCATAATACAAAAGTGATGGAAAAATAAAAGTAAAGCACAGTACAGTACTGTACTATAATTCTTCATACAGATAGGAAGATGGTTGGAGCGAGATCTAAGAACAGGCTGTATGTGCCAAAAGATAAACTGGAAACAACAAATATTAATGAAAAATAACAAAAATGACGAAATGCTACGAAGACTGCTTCACTCCTGTAATTACAGACAAATAATCATACACACATATTCTGCAATTTCTATCAATATAATCTGTTAATAATTTGAACATTAAAAAAAAAAACCACTGACTTGCAAGCCAAAATTATTCTGTGCCAAAGCATAAGATATTTTTCCTATAAAGCTTTAAGCAAACTAAGAATTTGCTACAGCAAGCACATTAATAACTTGAGGCTGCTTTAAGTGTGCTACTCTCTCAATTGTCGAATTTAATAACAGGCGAGTGTTTCTGCCTCTCAACTGTGCCATGTGTAAGTTCCTGACTTATTATGCTTTACTATACATAAGTTCTACACTAAATGCTTCAAGGGATTATAATGAAACAAAAGTTCTATTCTAGCAGGTAGCTTTAGGAGCAGCATCATATAGAAGGAAACTTAAAGAAATTAAACATTCACAAATAGTAATTTGTAAATTAGGAAAATCAATAAATAAAAAATCAGGCACTTTATGTAATGTAATGCCCTTTTCTGTTGGAGTTTGTGCACTGCTATAGCCAAGCCTTGGAATTGTATCTGTCAAAAAGGTTAAGTGAAACAAAACAATTGCTCGAAAGAAGCCTCTGACTATGAAGCTGAGCCTGCAGACATATCTTACAGAAGGAATAATAGGCTCAACAACCTCCATCAATTCCTCAGAAGAAACATCCCCAGAAGCTGTCACCACCAGTGTCTGCGAGCCCTCAAACTGAGACTATTTACAAACCAAAAGGAAAAGCTGGAAGGCAGATGGAAACAGAAGCAAAAATGGTAAGAGGATTTTGGCTGAAACTTAGTGCAAGTATCTAAGATTGGCTGCTCATCACTACCCACAGCAGCTGTGGGCTGCAACAGCCAGTAGTGCAAGGCAGTGTCTTGCAAAGAGTCTTCATACACTCTTAACAGCTTACTGTGGCATAGCCAGAACAAACACTGACAAACAGCACACCTCTACGTGAAATGACTCCTGAACCCAACAGGTAGAATGATGAAGGTAATAGAAATGCCAATCAGCATTAAAACACACCAAGTCTCATCCTCAAAAGCGGCAAACAGCAAAATCAGGAACCGAATCGGTTAAGAAGCCATCACAACCCAACTGGCTGCCTGGGCCTTAATGCAAACATGAAAGAATGCCATGCTCTAAGGCAAGTGTGGTCGACAAACCAAACACCTAACCCTAATCAACATCAGGTGAGGGAAGGTGTACGAAGCCATGATGAAGACTGACTTAACCTCATACAAGTACACACAAGAGGAAAAAGCAAAAGGCATCAAAACACACATGAATCAGGGCCAGGTACAACATAAAGACAAGCACACGGCTATATACTTCAACTTCCCATTAACAATCCTCACAATGGAGAGTTTGTCCCATGTGTAACTTTGAAGCAAGACAACTAAAAAAGGAGCCAAATCATAGAAGAACACAAACATCTCAAAGTAAGTATCTCTGGTGGAGGAAGTTTCTCTGGTTCACAACTGGGGTGAAATACAAGCCAGGGAACACACAATTTGAATGGTACAGAACACAATCTTGAAATATAAATGCAACAAAAACAAAGCAATGGCCCATCACAAAACAATGTTCCAGGGATAATCAACACCACTTAACTGAAAAAACGGAGTAGCTGAAAGGTTCCTGCAGAGTGTGCAACTTTGATGACAATACGCAAATGAGTTGCCGTTTCCCCAGGTATCCATGGGCCATCATCTGGTGGTGGTCGAGTGCATTAAAGATGATCAGAGTTGATCACCCAAGCCAACAATCCTTTGTCTTGTTTGCTTCAGAGCTTATTTCTTTATTTTAAGCAGTAGTTTATTTTATTTCATTTAACTTTTCTGGTGCATTTTTCTTAGTTTGGGTAGATCTATGATTCCCAGGCCTCCACTCACCTCGTAGATAAAGCAAGATTCTAGTCCTGGCATCCAGAGGTCAGTTTGAGCCTCAGAAGCCAGAGATGATTTCAAGACTTGACTTTATCAGTGCATAAGGTCCCGGGAGCTACTGAGGGGGTCCCTCCCAGGTAAAAAGAAAGCGAGAACCAACAACCTCAGTATTTTAGCCACGTTATTGTGACTCATCGCCTGCAACCTCAGTATTTTTTTAAGCATCAACAATAACAATTTTGTAATGTATAAAATGAAGTAAAATAGGCAAATGTATAAGAACAAATCTACTTTCATTACAAAATTTGGTGAGCAAACAATGACAGTTGTTTCCAAACTCACTCATGACTGCTGTACAGATGGGAAGAACGTGCTGATGGCTCATTGCCCATGCTCAGCTGAGACTGAAGTCTCAATGGTCGCACCACAATCCTCAGATCTTCAGGCATCTCCTGTTCCAAGAAGAGAAAAAATAAGAATCAATCTTTTCTAATCACTCTTATTTTAATTATTCTAGATTACAGAAACAATTACTACACTACCATCCAAAATAATTACTGTGAACTGCCTATTTGTTTGCACCAATGATAGCCGCTATAAAAATATACCATTCCATGCAAAAATTATCTTTGCTAATAAGGATAGATAATTCAGCTCACTTTAGAGGTATCTTGGAAAAATCTAATTTTATATGTAAATGTATATAGCAATTTTGACAAATTCATACTCGTTATAACAAACATTCTGTGCCGAGCTTAATATATTCCGTACTGTAACAATGCCAGCCAATTCTTCAAGTTGCAACTACAGTAAGTGCTACTAGCCCTTAAAGCTCCAGGATGTGATCAGCAATATTGCTGAGGAAACTAGATGAGTAAATCCTCATTGCTTAAAAGCAAGTGACCAGTCTTCTTTCACACTACTACTTTATCTTTAAAACATGCATCAGCTTACTGCAACACTTCACTAGTTCTGTGAGCTCTATAGCATCCTTTCCATCTCTTAAGTTTGTATGCAGTCTTCATCTCTGAATATAATGAAGCAGCATCAACAGATGGTAGATCAATGACCAAGTAAGACCCAAGTGTAATAAGCTGAAATAGTTTGATTTAATAATTAGCTAATTCTTCTTTCTAATATGAGTGATTTCCAGCAAAAATGACCTTTGATTATTCCAGTAATTCTGCTAACAAACATTAAACTCCCACAATACAAATGGTGAAAGTTTGACTACTGGCTGATGGTTCTTTGCAATTAAGTGAGGTGTGTCTCAGCAAACACAGCCTCTATAATCAATTACAACATTTCATTTGCTTTGCTCACAGAAGATTTGATCTGCACTGCAAAAGAAAGAGTCCACCTTGATCAGTCCAGCAACCAGGAGGCCTGGTCGATGACTGGGCCGCGGGGACGCTAAGCCCCGGAAGCACCTCAAGGTAACCTCAAGGTAAAGTAACCATGCTACTGTGGATTACATCTTAAATAACAATATGTTTCAAGGAATGGTAAGCACAGTATACTGGAATGCCTAGCACATATGTTAAAATTAATTTCATTCCAGCAATTGCAAAATTTTAATTTTTATCTGTTTACCTGCACTGCAACCTAAATGTTTTAGAGTACATACAGTAATGTTTGCGATATGCATGATGGTTTTAACCTTATGCAACTGTTTTTGTTAAAAAGCTGCTCGACATACTCTGAACACCTTGATTATCAAACCATTACTGTTATAATGACCTTGCAATTGATGCAAAAGTAAGTAATGCAGGATTCTATCATTTTTAAACTTGAGGACATATGAAACAATCTGGATTACACACATACTGCATGAGGATTATCTTGAGGTAAATGCTGTGTAAGAATGCTTATAGATTTTTTAATAATGACAAACTTTCTGCTAACTTTTGATTTCCAGAAAAAGGATACTAGCATAAAAATTCTAGTATAATATTGTAATATGGTTTATAATAATAAAAAATAATAATAGATAATGTTACCCTTAATGGGCTTGAATCATACCAATAAATCATTACTGAATGGTTAATGGAATCATACCAACATTTGTAAAATGTCAAAATGCAGAATAGAATGTGTTCCTACCTTAATGAATAATAGATATTAACACTTTGCCTGACCGATAGCGTATAATGTGTCTGTATATCAATATACTCAGGGTGTGCGAGCATGCTGCGTCCAAAATGTAAATATTTATTGTTCGATTATTATGGGACTAGTTTTAAAATGCACACCTTTCAATTGCAAACAATTTGATACCAAAATGAACTATGTAGCATGAAGATTGAAGTGGAAACAATGGAAAGAGTATAAATATTTGAGTGAGGGTGGGTGCACACTCATGGGTAAAACTCAACCTAACTTCAGGTGCTGCAGGTGGCGCGGCAAGTCACTTGACCTTATATGCATACAGTATATATCTTTAGAGCATTCTGATGCGAACAATTTGAAACTACAATGAATGATGTAGCACGAAAATTGAGGTGGGAAAAGTGAAAAAAAAAAGAGTATAAACATTTTAGTGCAGGTGCACGCTCACGGGAAACGCTCGATCGAACTTGGGTTGTGTTGGGAGTTGTGCGACGGGCCGGGTAAAGTGTTAATAACAACTGGAAAGCTATTAACTTAAAAAACAGGCAAATTGTTTTTCTACATGCATAACAAATTAATAATTAAGAACCAAAAACAATGTGTTCATTTTCTAAATGATGTCAAATTCTCCTATCTACTTACAGCAAATCCATACTTCTCTTGCACTTGTTCCTTCAGTTTATTAAATGATGCTACCATATGAGCATGCAAGCCAGCAATGGGATCTGTTACACGACACTCATGAATGGAGAGAGCAGCTTCTAACAGTGGTACCTGTCATGGGAAAATAACAAGTCAATTAAAAACGTGATATTCTTACACAACAATAAGCATTCACATGATTACCTGATACAGTCAGTCACTGACTTATGAACATCTTACATATGAAAACCCAATCTTATTAACTGCCTCCCATGTCACAGTTTGGTTATTTGGATCTGTTATACAAACAAGCTCTGTTGTCATTCGTGTTAAACAATGCTACTTTTACAAGGCTGCGTGGGGGGTATTACAAAAATGTCAAAATACAATTTCTTTATCAATAACCTTTTTTAGTTTTGTTTTTGCTGCTCCATAATGGGGTTATTCAATATTCACTAAAACTGCAGCACCATATATCACTATATTACCAAACAATTCATGACAAACACGAAAGAAAGTTGTGGTGGTGATGTACGGAGTACAATACAGTATTGCATTGTACAATGCAATACAATATTGCATTGCTCACTCATAACATGGCCCGCTAGGTCTAAACCACTAATGAGAAGCGTAATTTCAAGTCTAATTTAAATTATGATGCAAAATTTGTTTACAGAAAATTTATGAGTCAGTGATGGACACAAGTCTGTTTTCTGGATACCATTGTGTTATCACAATATGAGAGAATTAAGGATGCAGAGAATTAAAATTATAAGAGAATTAAGGAGAATATGTGAAGAATACAGAAGTTGGACAGATAAGCAAGAGGAATGAGGTAGTTGCATGGAGGGCTGTAATGAGATGCATGCATGAAATCCACAACTTGAAAATGATGGTGGCACATCACCGTGGCATGGGGAAAAAGGTTGAGTCTTGGGAAAAGATGGATGCACGAAGAACATGAGTTTTGGAAATTAAGAAATATGTTCATGTGCAGGAAAGCACTTTTTTCTGATAAAATAATAGAGTAAATGTAGGTGTATACTTTTTATCATGATGACAAATGATCAACTGTACCTACTATTATGAAAGACTTCAGAAAATCAGATTATAATAAGAGGGATATTCTAAACTAGACAGGCTAAATTAAATATTATACCTGGGAAGCAATGAGATGCCGTAGACCATCTAACTTCTCCGCATCATTAGGGTGGCTCTCGATGTACTCATCGGTTAAGAATGCCTGGTTTTTCGCAAAGTTGTATTATTATTAACATAAAGGTAACATCTTATCCAAAAATAATCTTTCACTGTAAGTAAATGAGAATTATGGCCATCATTTATCAGTAACTCAGAAATTTAATACTTTAACCAAAATTCAAATCTAATTATCACTGAAATAAATTGCCAACGTAAGACAATCTATTGCCAAGAGGTGTTTAATATATAAGCAACATACTGCATAAGAATTCTTTGTAATTTCACATCTATATCAGTTTGCAAAAAGTAAGATAAATGAGGTAGTCAGACCTTTTCATAGTTAACAATGCCACCCATAACAGCAGCATCCACCATTCCTGACACCTTTCTTGTTAGTGGATGTAGTGGCAAAGTAGTGTCTTGAGCATACCGTCTGGCCAGGTCGTACACTTCTGTGTTGGCAGTGGCCATAGTTTCCAGGGCATTCTCCAATGGAGACAGTTCAATTGATTTGGTCTTAACTACTGGGAAACACCGAAGTATTCCTGTAAAATACAAAACAATGCTATCCATTTAGAATTACATGCTTATTTATTACGGTTATTTGTTTAAGTTGTAACTCCAACTGCTTTTATAAGTTAATATTAATATAAATGGTTTCATTAATGACGTTTTCACAGTTTTCTCATGAAGGATCAAAATAACCGCCTACAGTACAGATTTTCAGACCGACTCTTGCATAGATTTTTCCAGGTCTAGGAATTACACTTTTCTGTAGTGAACCTCTTTATTTTGCACCTAACTTTCCCTTTAATTCCATCACTCTTAATAATAGATCTTATATATACTGTACAGTATTGTACATTCCTGATATAATCAGAAAGTAAATTCCTCTACAATTTCAACACAGTAATTGCAAATGAAGTAATGTACTTTACCTGGCAACGAATATGAGGTTTGAAGTGTTGTTTTCTCAATGCAAAGTGTGGCAAACTCGTTTGAAGAGTCCTTCTGTCCTCGATGAAATGGTCGAGAATAGGTGAAGATCTTGACATGGTTTGCTCGATAATAGCTACGAATTTGCTCAGAGACTGATGATGAGGAAAATCTCTCCTCTTGCATTGCACAATCAACTTTACTGATTTGCAAGACTGGAAAATAAAAGTAATAAAACTTGTGTTAAGATTAGTACAAGACACGTCTGGGTGCATCTGATCTTCCGTTAACCCTTCAAGTGCAATTATCATTATATGTTGATCCACAGGATAATGTGGTTATCATATATTGATGTTGATTAACCCAGATTATTACTGTCTGGGTTTTACTCATTATAAATGAGTTTGGAAGGATATAAATAGGAGCTACCTCATATGGAAGAAAAATTATTTGGGTAATATTGATAAGACCCTTTTTGAGCTGTTCCATACAGTTACCCAACAAGGTAAGATCTGCTGTGTAAAAACAATTATTCAAGCAAAAACAATTTCATGTCAAAACTTAAATGACACTGGAATTGTGTTCAACATACTTCAGGAGTGGTAAGATTTGATGGTCTTAGGATCACAAATAAAGTTTACAGGGCAACCCGTCCTCTAACAAAGAACCTCGCTTTTCACTCGTATGCATTACATAAGACCAAAAATTGTCGTACTAGTAAATGGTAGCAGCTCGCAAAGGTGACGTATTGTCCCATTTTTTTGTTTAGAGTTCACTGGAAGGTTAGGAGAGGACGCTTTAAATTGACCGTTTTCTTGACGCTGGGAAACCTTAGGAGGACGGGCTGTACTGTGGTCCTGGGTTCGATCCCAGGCGCCGGCGAGAAACAATGGGCAGAGTTTCTTTCACCCTATGCCCCTGTTACCTAGCAGTAAAATAGGTACCTGGGTGTTAGTCAGCTGTCACGGGCTGCTTCCTGGGGGTGGAGGCCTGGTCGAGGACCGGGCCGCGGGGACACTAAAAAGCCCCGAAATCATCTCAAGATAATCTCAAGATAACAGGGATAGCTAGTTACAATAAGAGGCAAGCAAGGATCTGAGAAGAGTACTATACCAATGTCTAGACATTTTACAAGCATCATATATAATACACAAAGTTTTCCGGTTGCGACATCCTGTGATACTATACTGTACTGCATAATATGATTCAGTTTGTGGACAAGAACATGAACCTAATTCCTAATGGAAAAGATATTAAGTAATTCTTTATAAACTCACACTGCTGAGGTGACTCCTTAACCTCATAGTTGGGTGGTGTGAGCTTCTTCATTAGCTCAGCATTGGGAAACTGATCCAAAATGCGGGAGGTAAAGTCTGCTAAACGCTCAAATCCATTTCCACGGTAAACAAACACCTGTAAACGTACGTAAGTCTTGCAAAAATACTCTTGTGAATAATAAACTAGCACAAACCTGTAAACAACAACAAAATAACTTTCTAGAGGGCTTTTCTTATACGAAATAAAATATCTTGAGATGAAATGACTTTCATCTCAAGATAACCTCAAGGGCTCTTGTGAGGACTTTGGAGCTCACGAATGAGTTAAATTATAAAAATCTCATTTTGGCGACATCTTAAGTGGACAATTCTCTTATCATTTATTTGTATTCATCTTCATCTCATTCAAATTAATTTTTTTATGAATTTGTATATATTTTCTAATCATCTCGGTGGTCCGTGTGAATCTCTATTATTAATCATTCCAAAATACAGTACCTTACCTTAGTTACATCTTTTTATCCACCATCAGAAACTTTCACCCACTTTTCTTGAAATACATACTACAAAATCTTAGAGAATTCCCCAGCCCCACATCTTACAGAAATTCCCGTAAGCCCACATCTCAAAACTGTTTACAATAAGTTTATTTTCTTCAGCCAGAATACACTATCCAATTTATAGGTAATCATAAATATTTGGCACGGTTTATCTTCTGCTCAGATGTGAAGAAAAGAAGAGATTATTAACTGAGAATGATATGACAGTGATTAAAATCTGGCCAATAATCTGAAGAATCCATGCCATAGAAACAACTTCAAGGGTAAAAATAATTTTACCAGAAACACACCACTTGAGCCAAGTGAAATAATATAAATGTAAACCCATAACCCCTGAGAAGGTCTGCTTTGATGCCTCAAGGTACCTTTCCACCGAACACAAGGTACAGTAATACGATAGTCATAAACAAATTCCCTAGTCATTATTTCACCTCACCTTTTTTGTCTTAATTCCAATTATTTTAAATTATAAGTTAAGTTGCCACCACAGGCCCCACTCTTCAATAACATACCATTAATGAGTATTATAACGCCAGCCTGAACCAGACATTAGGGCTGCATGAAGGATGCGAGGTGATCGTGTGATATAAGCAGGAAACCTCATGAGCTAACACTATAGAAACACACATTATGAAATGTATTTGAGGCTGTAGAAGGAAAGATAGAATAATTAACCAAATGTCATGGGAAGATACAGTGCAAAAATCTTGTAAGGCTACACGAGATTGTAGAGAGTTCATTGAGAATGTCTGGTTATACAGAATGAATGGTTGATAAAGTACTGTAATGAAAAGAGAGCATCCAACTAAATTCAAAAATTCAAAATTGGGTGAAGAGAAATGCCGAAAAGAGGACCAAACATGGTGAGAAAGCGTGTAAAGAAGTGGGGATCAGGTGTAAACAGTGCAAGAGTAGCAGTAGATAGCAAAGCTATACAGAACCAGTTTGTTAAAAGTGAATGATTAACACATTTATTTGTAAATGATAACTTAAGAGAAGCACTTTACACCATGTTTCATGAAGCAGTGATGCACTGCTGTGTATGTCTGCTGGAGTGCAAAGAGTTCATTTGATGCTGCAGTATGTTACATAAAAGATATGGTGAATGCATTCAAATTTCTTTTATAGCATTTAATCTTCTTTTCCAATATTACTCTCATTTGTTGTGGGCTTATGCCTCCCCATCCCATGAAATTGGGAAAATAATAATGATTTACTAACTTAATTAGAACCTTTTTTAAGTTAACCTAGAATTTTCACATTACATATTTTCCCTCTCTTATGCCATAATAATCTTAATAATTCTTCACAGTACATAGATTCTGTGATTTATTCTATTAAGAGACCATCAGTGAATTGTAGATATATCTACCTTGTTCTGAAGAAAAGCTGGGAATCCTCGTCCATAATAAGCAACCCTGAAATACTCTGGCTCAGGACGAAGATTTTGAGGGTTCATAATATTTTTGTAGAACACAGCCATACGGGTTAGGAGTTCAGAGAGCTTGACATAATTTATAATAACTTCCTCATAATGCTTCACCAATTCTTTGCAGAGAGTGAGAGCATCTTCCCACATCTGTTTGTTGGAAAATAATGTTAATAAGAATATAAAGAAGAATTTTATGCTAATTCAAAACTGAAAAAGTATAACAATTTTATTAAAATTTAATGAGCTAGTAAGCATAACAAAATTTTGTATCAAGTCACGAAATGCTTTATGTTCAGTGCCACTCAATCACTCCATAAGTCCCCCACTAGGGTCCAGCCAAGACAACACTCATGTCAAATTTTATTTTACGCCCCCCTTTCTTCTCTAATCTTATGTGCCAGTGTAGTGAACCCTTAAGAATTAACCCAAGTCTCTGAGACCAATGCTAGCCTACGCACTCTAATTTTACAGGAAATTGACATAATATTCATACATACTATGTTTTTGTGTCCCTAGTGATTAGGGATTAGAGAATACAAATTGAAATTTTGAATTGGAACAGGTCAAGATCTGGCGTGCTTGTACTCTGAGGCTCAGTCCATGTACCATCTGATAGCAGGTACAGTTAGAACATTCAAACATTATGAAGGGTTAACTGTTGCCTTGTACTGATTATTTTATACATTGGATGTAAATAATAAGCTATACTGTATCAAGGTTTCTAGTGATGGGAAATTATAAGTCGCATAACAATGATGACTGAACTCTATGCAACATCTCAGTCATTTGTAATACCCCTGGAACCACAGTTATAGCTAAATGCTCAATATTTACATCCAACACCAGACACATGATTTGAATGCAGCATAATTTGCTACCTAGCTCAAAATACAATGTACAAAATACAATGCTCTATAGTGCATGATTCAACATATTAAAATTACTTAAGGGATAGCATGTTAATCTAACCTTTCCTTTGTCAAAGTAGCTGATGATTTCCTCATATAGCCTCTCTTTCAAATCATCATGGCGATCAATTGTGTGGTAGTGAGGCGAGCGGAGAGCTGTAGAGAGGGGGTCTGGAGACCAACGTAAAAGGTTGGCATGCTGTAGTAGTGTGTATCCAGCCTCGGTGTAGTTGTCACATGCCAGATGAAGCTCAGACAGCTTGTACACATACCGAAGGTAAAGCTCTTTTCTATTTATTTCTGAATAGAAGTCCTGTAAATGTTTGAAAAAATTAGGCTTCAGTTCTGAAATTATTTGAAGCAACAGGCTTTTATACTACACGGTCAGTTTCAAAAGAACCGTGCAGGTTACACTGGTATTAAAGAGCAGTCTTAAACATTTATGTTAATGCCAATGGTCCCTCCCATAGGCAAGTATCTTAAGAACTCAAAACTCCACCAAGCTAACCTCAAGATCAAGAATCACCTAAAAGAAGTGCCCTGGAAACTACCAAATAATGCTCTTCAGAGCAACTACTTTTTACCAACTGACAGTATCAGCACCACAATACAGTGCTCCAATCTGATTCAGTATTTCACTTCCTGAAACAAATATTCACATACAGTACTGGTACATGGTACCAGGAAGTTACCGAAATGACTAAGGGTCATGCTTCTTAATTAAGGAGTGTTTCATAAAGCCTCGAAGCCTAATTTCTGAGATAATCCTCTTGGTTGCTTCCTAAGGTAAGTGTCTGATACAGAAGGAAAAACAAACTACAAAATCTAATAGAGCGTCACCTGAACAGAGCAGTACCCAAAAAATAGTCCGGCAGAGTCACTATCTGGATGATGAGAGCACAGGAATCCATACACTGGTGGGCTTAGAATGAAAACCTCTGCATATAACAGGAAGCAAAAGTAAGGTTAAGTCACCCAAACCCCCCCCAAGCATGGATGTCAGACAAGAGACTGCAGAGAACAATGCGCTGAAGATAACCAGTTTCTTGAAATTGTGAGCTTGAGGATAAACTTCAGGCCTAAACCTAGGGGTAAATGGGGCTATTTAGTAGTTATCAATACACTTCTTGGCAGTCAGGTTTGATCTTGAGGACTGCTTGGAGATGTTTTGAGTTTTTAGAGAGTTTCTCCTCAGAGTTGAAATAAATGATATCTAGTGGTGTGTAGTACCAGTGTAACCCAGCAGTGCAAGTATAGTGTGTGGCACCAACCCTTCACTGTACATAGCTTTGGACCTGACTGCATTCTTCTTTAGCAAGTGGCCAGGGGGACTACCTCACATATATGAACTAATTTAGCAATAATGAGTATTAATCACATTTAGATCAATGGGAAAAATCCAAGCAAAGTTATGTACCGTACTAATTCTTCATGCAAATTAATTGCTATATAGCTCTGCATTAACATGTTTATATTTTAGTAATCATATTCAGATTAAACTTAAATATTTTATCTAATCTGATTTTATAACAATGCTAATATTGTAGTTAGTATAAGATATAATGAGTCAAATGGTAAAGTTTCAGACATTTTTCATGTATAATTCTGATCTAATTGTATGGTATATTATACCTGACAACTTAAACTTAGAAGGATAGTTATGTATCATTCTCACCCCACACACACAAAATTATATTACTAAACTCTTTCTTGAGTGATATAAGTCAAAGAACTGCGCTCAAACCCTTCTGATCCAAGAGAACTACTCTGAATCTTTCAATTAATAGGAGGCAAAGGAACTATAATCCCTTCCTGATGGATGGGAGCTTAAAGAAATAAACATACCAAGAGGTTAACAATACAGCTCATGCGTGTTTCTGCTGAATTGTCTGGAGTGTTCATTATAGTACGGTACTGTAGGAGTCGATCCATGAGCCTTGTGACAGTGCGCACTAATTTGTGACCAGATTCCTGCATGGTGTGGTGACCTTCACAGAGTGCACCAATCATGATATGGAATACCTCTCGATAATGTTCATCACCATTGCCACTTTCTACAAGCTGGTCTAGTTTTTCTAACATTTCATTCTCAAACTGAAAAACAAAATTGTATTACCGATATGCTCAAATATATCCTCCACTTTTTAGTATGTAATCATCGAAACTACATTAATGCATGCTTCTGTTCATGGGGGAAAATAATAATATTACACTTATAATGAAAATTTATTATTTAACTCACCTCATTAAACTTTCCTTTAATCTTTTGGTTATTTCGAGCCATGTCTGGAGGTAGGTCTTTCCCTTGATCTCTTAGAGAATAGAATTCACACTGCATCATATCAAAGAAGATAGGTATAGTGGCTTTGCGAAGGTCCACATCAGGCAACATTGTCATCTTGAGGAATGGGCCAACCATCGAGAGTTTACTATCCGATCCGGCTACAAAGCGTATCTTGTGCTGTCCTGCAATACAGTGATATATTAGCTTTTGAGAGTTCTGATTCATATATTATCATATAAAGGCAATAATCCTGTATGGGGGAAAACTGAGGAAAATGTCAAGAATGTGAATAATGTTTATAAGAACATTACACACCAAAGACCTGAATAAATACTTTAGGAGATAACTTAAATTTGGCAGAAAAATTGAATATAGTAAAAATTAATCTGTTTATAATGGATAAATAGTTTGTTTTGTGATGATATTAGCTTTCAGTGAATACCTGAGGTAGATCCCTAAATGTCTGCATTGAAGAATGATAAAAGTAGATACTGACCCCTGCTTTCTCACCTAGCAATAAATGATCTGATGCATGAATTGTCACTCATTGGAAATACACATAATTAAGTCTGATGGCTATGTAAGGCCATCAGATATGCTAGGCATATTTATCTGTATATACAGTATATATATATATAGTACAAATGGTGGGTGGGTTGTTTGTGTGGGTGGGTGGGTGAGTTCAGTGGCCAAGTGGTGATTGCATGGGCGAGTAAATCAGTGGCTGAGTGAATTTGTGTGAGTGGGTGAGTCAGTGACCGAGTGGTGTTTGCATGGGCGAGAGTACTTTACGAGTCTGCACTGTGTATAACATTATGGGTGTGGTTCCACTTGTGTGGGGGGGGGGGGGTGAGTGCTGTTTGCTTGAGTGAAGTGTAGGTGGGCAAAAAGGTGCGGACTTCGATGAAAGAGTGCTGAAGTACTTAACTATGTTGACTGGGAGTGAGATATGGTTCTTTGGCCCACTGCCTTCTTGATGGTGGTACCTGGTACTTTTATATATTTCACTGTTCACGTAGGTTCATAGGTTCGAACTCTTATCATTGCCCTTGTGGATTTGTTTATTTTACTGTTTTAGATAACTACATATTTGGATATTGACAGACTTAAAATTAAAAAAAAAAAAAAGTTTAAGTGCTACTTTATTTGGACCTTAAAATATTTTAACTAAAATGATAAGAGAAAAGCACTAAAATAACAAAAATAAAACAAGTTACCTAAACTGAACCACAGGCTCTTAATCTCCAAGGCAGTTTCTCGACGCATATCACCATATCGATGAAGGATTTTATTTCTCTTGCTTTGTGTGAAATCTTCTAGCTGCAAAGAAGGCTGAAAAAATAATGAACAAATTAAACCATAAATTTAAAACTTTATTATTATTATTATTATTATTGTCTATCTGGTTTAGGTTCACTGCAAAACATTCTGGCATGAATCATAAGAAGGGATACTATTCTATGAAATCAATCTAGAACATATATTTAAAAAGAAATATGGTGGTGTCTGTAGATTCATCACAAAACCAAGTCCCTGGGCACTTTTCCAGTCTCCAGACTGCAAGAAACTTTGTTGGTGTAACCATATATAATATAAGCCATATTATAACTTCTGTCATTTCTATACATTTAGGTGTGACTTGTAAAATAACACACTTACGCGAGTAAGGTTCACTGTCTACCTTCTCGTAGGGTTTCAATGTTTAACATCTACCGTATATATATATTCCTGTATACAGTACCTCAAAAACTTCTTTCAAGTTAACATCTACTGCCTTTTTTTTGTAAGCTAGGAAAACAGGATTCAAAAACACTTTACTATGTTACCTGTGTAATGAAATTGATGGCACAATGAAAGAAGCTACTCCAGACAGCTTCATTGAAAGGTTCAAGGACTCTTCCTGAAATTACTCGTGAACACTGACGTAGTACCTTCACAATCACACTGGAAAAAGAATAAATTCTTGTAAGTGAAATCAATTGAGATAAATCATGCATTGAGCAGTACATGAAGTTTTTTTAATGCGAGAGTCTACTGATCTCTAGTTAGGCTTTAGCATAGTTAAGACAGGTTGAAATTTTATAGCATAGCATAGAACATTTCAAACTGTCCCAGACAGGTCATACTAGTGCAAGGGAGATACTGGATACTACTCAGTCCAGCATGAAAAGCCATCAGAAAATAAATTTACATAAAACTCAAAAGCCTTTCCAGGCACAAAATGGCACCACATGGAATGGCAAGCAGCCCTTGACAAAATACTGAATGACCCAATATGCCACTAACCATAACCTTATACCAAGAGGATGCACCGATGCCATAATAAAGCAACCCAGCCTAGCCTCAAAACATTCCACCCGATTGATCTCCAGACTAAGAACAGCTCACCACCAAGCACAGTAAGAGAAATGTAAGGAAGGCAAGAATTGAATCTAATGCTCAGAACGGCACTCTTAATATACAGTATACTCTCTCTTACTTCCACTCACCACACACTCCATCCCAGCATCACTCTCTTCAGCCCCCACATACACTCACCCACTCCTACATGCTCACTTCTGCTTTATACTCTTCCAGTCCAACATACCTGTACTCTTCCAGTCCAACATACCTGTACTCACTTCCACACCCACATACACCCCGTTTTTAACTGTACCTTTAAATCAGTTCAATAAATTGCCTATAAATCAATTCAATCACCTATCTAATGTGAATATGTTTAAAACCTAAAGGATATTAAAAACTTTGATTTATGTCATAAACCTAGACTAACCTGTTCTGTAGAAGAATCATTTCTGCCCAATCTGCAGGAAACACTGGATCTTTTACAAGGTTTTCCACCACCATGAGTAAGTCCAGGAGAAAGTTGCAGAGCTGGTCTGAGTGTTGAAATTGGCAAAAGAAGTTCTCGAAGTGATTTTTTGACATTTGTCGAAAAAGGGCAACCAGTACACTCACAAACTTGCACTGCAAGATTTTATTAATCATTAAAACCAAGGAAAAGACTTGAAAATCAGATATGAACCTTTATATTCAGAATAATGTACAGTTAGATCTCCAAAACTATATAGAGTACATGTGTCTTTACCAATGTTTTACTATATTAACAAATAAATAATTATTATATAAGAATACTATGCAAAGCAACATACACTAATCAAGAAAGCACAAATAAAAAACTTTATCTTTCTAAAATGGACTCACAATTAGTGGCTCATCTCGGGTCATCTTGAACACAGTGGAGAGAATATCTTCAAGTAGTCTGGTGGAGAGCAGACTAATGTCTTCAGAAGTATCACCCACATCCTTGGAAAACAGCACGTCCAGAATGTCTCCCAGAATTTTAACGCACAAATCCAACTTGATAACAAGAGAGGAAAATTAATACAAAAACCCTAACTACTGGTATGCAATTATTTTTCAGTTGTATCACACAGCTACTCTACTATTCATACACCCATAAATCGGGTGACAAAATGCAATTGACGCTACAGTACTGTAATTTCTAAATTATTCAACAAAATAAAATTGAACACCAAGCATAATAATAATAAAACAAAAAAATTAAAAAAGTTACATGCATTAAAATAAAAGGAGAATAAAATACTGAACATTAACAAAATATATATATATAAATATATATAAAAGTGGGACTCACCTAAATTTGTTTTTAATATACAGTATACTTATATATATATATGTGAACTAACATGACATCTAGTCTACCCAAACCCAGAAAGATGGTAGCTGCCCGAGAGATGGAGAGATGCCCGACACCTCTTCAACCACATGCCACCAAACTGGGCCACTGAAGCCAATATTATGCTAATCAATCAATTTAAAAGTAATGTTTGTTTCCTTTTGAAGAGACTAAAGTAAGGTTAAAGATTAGTAAGAATTGAAACAGTGAGGTTGGGTTGAGATTGCTAACATACAATACGAGAAGATAATGGTGTGAGCACAGTATCAAACTGCAGCAGTAAACGGTTTAGTAATGTGTGATGAGTAACAGTGATGTTGAACTGCAATGGTGACAGTGATCTTGAACTGCAATGGTGACAGTGATCTTGAACTGCAATGGTGACAGTGATCTTGAATTGCAATAGTGACAGTGATGTTGAACTGCAATGGTGCCAGTAATGGTGGACTGAAATTATAATCGTGACACTGAACTATAATTGAAAAGCCTAAAATCATCGTCATTAAGCTAACAAGCTAAACTACAATTTTTCAGTAGACTGGGTTGCTCAACAGGAAAGGAGCTCTGGTACCATAGAGGAGGAATGTTTCATAGGTCACTGATGGGTTACATTATAAGATGATAGGTACAGATATGATTAAATGACCTCTGAGCAATAAGCTATAACCTGCTACCAAAGCTAAGGATAACCTACTGATATAGTTAAGGCTGACCTATACACACAGCTAAGGATAAATGGTAAGTGCAGGCAAGGTGTGAGTGGTGAGCAGAGTTAAAAGGGGAAATGTTGAGCAGAGTTAAGGGCGAGTGGTGAATATAGTTAAGGGTACATTGTGGGACAGAGTTAAGAGTGTCTGACGGGGCAGACAAGAACATAATATTAGCAGACCACTAGTCCTGTAGCTACTTCAAATTAGTCTATATACATCAAAGCACACCAAGGCAACCAAAATATAATTATGTAGAAACAAGAGCTATGGGTAAGTTGTATCAGCCAGCATCTATGTACTGCACATCTCGATTAGTGAAAATATAAAATAACAGCAGCGGTTATTTTTAGTATCTTTCTACATTACTGCCACTCTTATATTTTGTTGCCACTCTCAGCATCAAGTTAATATTATTATATACATTTTACCAAATATAAACTCTTAAAATATTTACCAATTAACAAAGTTAAATACAAGAGTAAATACATTTTTTTAACAAAACACAGTAAAGGTATTAATAAATTTAGTGATAAACAAATTGTTAACATTATTTATATAACAAAATTCATTACATTATCTCTTATTCCACTAATTTAAAATATATAATCAGGGGAAACTAGCCATGATAAAATATAAACAATCACTATATTTAAAATGTTGTGAATAGGTGGTTATATATACTCTATATCAAATAAGCTTCAATAGAAATTTGCTGCCTAAATAAACAATAGGGCGTTCTCTCTCTTCTCCCATTGATGATGGCTTTCTATGTTCCACACCATCACTCGGCCTGGTACAATGTTTCTGCCTCATTATTACCATTCTAATAACGTGCTGATCAATTCCTTGCTTCTTTTTTCATAGGCCATTTTGCCTATGAATTGCTTCATCCCTTGTAGTGTCCATAGCATACCATACATGCTTGTAGACTAGTTGGTTTGATGTGTTTTAGACTCCAGGCCAGGGAGACTGTGAAGGTATCCTGCACTCTGTGCTTGTTCTCGGAAGTCAAATTTTGTTCTTTCCACACATTCATATTTTTCAGTACTAGCAATGGTCAAACTAACATGGAATTCTTTAGCAAAGACGGAAGTAATTCTTCAAGGGCTTTTAACCATTATACAAAATCATATCAATAATTTTTAAAAATATTTGTCAAGTTTTGTCATAGTTGTCAAAAAGGATGAACTCATCACAAAACCAACAGTTAAAATGTTTTCCCCAACAAGGGAAAAGCCGGTCGGGCGAGCGGACAGCACGCTGGACTTGTGATCCTGTGGTCCTGGGTTCGATCCCAGGCGCCGGCGAGAAACAATGGGCAGAGTTTCTTTCACCCTATGCCCCTGTTACCTAGCAGTAAAATAGGTACTTGGGTGTTAGTCAGCTGTCACGCTTCTAGGGGTGGAGGCCTGGTCGAGGACCAGGCCGCGGGGACACTAAAAAAGCCCCGAAATCATCTCAAGATAACCTCAAGATAACAATATTTACCAAGTGGTTTGCATTTCTCGTGTCTGTGAGATTATGTTGCACTGGACCAGCTAAATTGTCACAAAAGACATGCAATTCTATAAAGAACTAGAGATACTGTAATGGGTTTTATTTTTCCTTTAAAACGTGTAACTTATTTTTTCATTTGAGATACAGATTTTAATTCATAAGGCAGTAAAACCAGTGTTGAATGTAATGACATTCCAAATTTCCAGGTCAGTCCCAGAGGTATCCTGGAGCTAGCTTACTGATTAAGTGCCATACTACTTGAAGTCATCAATCCCAGAGTTCGTATTGCCCACTGGGGACCTGGTTCTCTCAGAGTGGTGCAGGAAGCAATGTCTCATGAACACTTTACATTTAAAGTTTATCATCTTGCCATTGACAAGGATATCAACCAGAAAGGTAGGCGAATCAAAACAGACTACTGCATGGTTGAAAAATAAGACTAACTCCTTCAAAATATCAAAACAACCCCCACCCCCAAAAAAAAAACTTTGTCCCACCAGCCCCCAACTAGTTTGTCTCCTCCTCCCTCCTTGTTGGGTGGGAGGGGAAGCCCTTTTGTCCCATGACCCAGGAGTATACAGTAGTAAGGTGCAGTAATTACATCTGCTCTTACAATTCATGGGCTTCGGGAGTACAAGAACTCCCAGAACCCCATCCAGGTACAATCAAGGTGCAGGTACATAATCACAAAACAAGACTCCTTAATGTGCTAGAAATAACTGACATTTTGACAAGAGCCTCGTACAATTGTTCATGGATGGACACGATAATATACACACACAAAATATGAAAATAATTATAATTACTACACAAGATATTAGTCCCAAATAATAATTCAAATTCATATTAAAAATCTAAGAATAAAGTTTTTATAATGCTTATAATTAAAATTTCTTAAGGCATAGAATAATTGTATATTAGAGACATGAACATTCATACAGAGTTTATCCTAACACATTACTCAGAGCGGCTCACTTCTTCTAAAATAAGAAAAAGTAATTCTACTGATGTCTTTAAATGAGATTTAATAATATGCATCACATGATTCAACAGAACCCAGCCTATGCATGTTCTCTAAAATGTGGACAGACAATATTCAACAACAGACATACTTTCGGTTACAATGATACCCTTTTGTGTGAATCCTCACCTCTTCTGTCATGGTGCGATCTTCAGTCAACTGAGCGGCGTTGTCCAGATCCAGGAGTTTTTTTAGTTTCGTCTTTTTTCTCTCCTTTCTCATTATAACCTCATAATCTGTCATCTGAGGAAGGCATAAGGTAACATGGTGGCAGAGGGAGAGGGCCATGGTTAAGGGCGTAGTTGAGCATGGACCCGGGTAGGGGCAGGGCAGGGTGGGGAATCAGGCAGGAACCAGGAGCCGGCAAGGTCGTGGATCAGGGATGAGGAGTGGGCTCATGTATTAGGCAAAAAAACAAAGTCAAGACAATTACAGTAAACTCCTCTACTTAGAACTGCCAATTATCTAACCTTTTAAATTTTTAAGAACTTTACTGTATTATTATTTAATGTGTAAATATCTATACAAATATCTAATACAAATATCTATACAAATGTAAATATCTGTATATCTATACAAATGTAAATATACACACATATAGTCGTTATAATGTAAATGAGAGCATGAGGTTATTGGGCGGAACACTTTACATACAGCTCTTCCAAATAAATTTAAGTAAGGTAAGTGTTACTAATTACTGCCTATAGTGCTTAGCATCACTTTAATTTTGTGTGACATCTTACTAACAGGTGGATAAATATATGCAAACCAATTTGCATATATGAAATTTTGAACAAAATTTAAGTGTACTAAACCCTTCCTTATCTGGAATATTAATGTATCCAGACTGGTATCCATTATGAAGTTTGACACATCTGATGTTTCTGAAACATCCTCGTTTCTTCATTTTCTGATGTGTGGTTTGGATATCATACCTTCAGCCATTTACTGTAACTCACTATCCAGATTGACCTATCCCTTAAGTATTCTAGATGCAGAGGAGTTTACTGTAAAGCGCTTTGGTAACAAAAGTCGATAAGGCATTGTTAAAAGAAGAAGCTGCTGATGAACCATGGGAAAATCAAGCACTGAATGTAATGAAACATTTTCTGATAGGCCTTCATTAGCTCCCAAGGACTTACTCACTGGAACTGCTAAACCTAACCTACATGCCAGGCTTATGAGATCCATGCTGATCTACTGGGAGCCAGGACCAGAATCTGGTTCTTGAAGGAGAAAATGACTTCCCTGCAGGGAACAAGAAAAAGAAACTTCCAAGACACAGAGAAGCCAGAAACTGAGTCCATTTTATGCAACCAAGAGTCAAGCTAGACTCTAAACTTGTCAACAATAACAATCATATTTTGTATCAAGAAACTGGAACAAAGCAATGATGAACAAGCCATTAGTGACTGAAAAAAATATTTTGGCCCCCCCCAACTCCCCTTCCCAAATGCTAAAAATACTCTGCCCTCAGGATGAGGACTGGGAGCTTAAAAGTTAGCAGCTGCAAGTGACAACAAAATGCACACACTTAAACAAGCTGAAGGCCCCTCTAAGTGAGACTCTGAGGAAGACAGGAGTCTAGACACTCATGTTGGGGGAAGGGGAGGCATTTCCAAGCCATGAATTTGGAGTTCCGATGCACTCTGGCAAGGAAAGTGGGGTTGGGGAAGGGAAGGGACTCAGTGGACACCCAACTGACAGTGGCAGGGAAGACACCTAGGAAAAAAGACAGCAAAGAGAATCAAATGGAAACAATGGAACCTAATCAGGAAACCCCAAATACCTGAGACCCACTACCTGTCACATAAGAAGTGCCAGAACCTACATCACCAGGGTACATAGACTGGGAGGGAGGGAGGAAGAGAAGGAATACTTCTTCAGAGCAAAGCCCCCTGAAATATTCCACAAACAGGATGAATAGATGAGATTCCCATCAAAATAGCAAAAGATGAAACCTAGAAGTTGCCATTTTTGGCACCTGTGAGTCAACGAACTGAGGGCTACAAAAACATTTAATAATCACAAAGAGGCTGCAGCTTGAGAGGCAGGAAAGTCCTGCAATAGCACACACTGCACACTCAAAGATGAATCTACCTTGTGTGTGACTGCACACACAAGGTAGGTGGTATGCAACATAATCATAAGGTGGAGGTCAGCCAACCCAGTGATTGTGGAATATTTGCAGGCTGGGACCTTGGGTGGTTAAGTGAATTAGGGGTTGGGTTGTTCACCTGTGGCAAACTATCACTGACTTTCTGGTTGGTTTTCCCCCAAGCACCCTCTTACTTCATTGTGAGAGATTTTGGTTCTGGCTCCCAGTGAGCATGGGTCTCAGTGGCCTGATGTGATCCTTAAGCTTTGCAGTACCAGCACATTACCACCAGGAAACAGTTGAGAGGCCCTCCGATAAAGACAAATTTCTTTATGATAAAAATAACCTTTAAGCAGCAATGGATCAGAAGTTCAAGTTAAAAGCAAGTGAACAGTCATCACACAGAGAAAATAAAAAAGAGGCACCACAAAAATGTATGAAAAATATAAATATCAATCCACAGTACCTGCTTCTTGCTACTCTCACACACATTCACTTTGCACACCAACTCTCTAACCCACAAACACACACACATTTACTTAGTGTTTATGATACAGCCACAGAGATTTTACAGGAATGAGATGGTTGGGGTGACTATATTTATCTGGACCTAAAAAAGGCTTTTGACAGTCTGTACAAAATGTTATTCTATAAACTGTAACATGTTGGAGGAGTGACAGGTAGACTGCTGACATGGCTGAACAATTTTCTGACAGAAAGATGAGGGCAGTAATCAGTGGCAATGTATTAGACTGGAAAAAGTGTTACTAGTAGAGTACCAGAGTGTTCAGTTCTTGCACCAGTAATGTTTGTCTTTTATAAAAATCTACCAGAAGTAATACAGAACTATATGGACATGTTTGCTGATGATGCTAAGATACTAAGGAAGATAAGACACTTAGATGATTGTCATGCCCTTAAGGTGACCTAGATAAAATAAGTAAGGCGCAACACTTGGCAAATGGAATTCAATGTGAATAAATGTCTTGTTATGGAATGTGGACTAGAAGAAAATAGGTCAAAAGCAACCTACAAATTATCTGTAATGATATTAATAAACTGGCAAAGAAAGAGACCTGGGGGTGGGGCTCTGGATAGTAGACTGTCACCAGAGGACCACATAAAGGACATTATGTAAGGAGAATATGCAATGCTTTCCAATGCAAGGCTAGTAAAATAGTAGAGAAATTATTCACGACTTTTGTGAGACCAAACTTGGAATACGCAGTGGTTGTATGGTGCCCATTTCTTAAGACACACAAACTGGAAAAGGTACAAAGACATGCTACTAAATAACTTCCAGAACTGGAAAACAAGAGCTATGAGGAGAGACTAGAGGTGTTAACTATATTAAAGCTAGAAGGTAGAAGAAAAAGAGGTAATCATTACATACAAAATAGTAACAAGAATCCACAAAATTGACAAAGAAGAATTCTTGAAACCTGCAACTTCGAGAACAAGAAATCATAGTTTCTAGCCAAGGAAACAATTGCTAAAAAATATTAGAAAGTTTTCCTTTACAAATATAGTAGACAATTGGAACAAGTGAAAAAGTAGTCGATGCCAAAGCCATCAGCAGTTTCGAAGCTTCAAACGAAAAATACTAATAGGAAGACAAGATACCATGAGTACAGCTCTCATTCTGTATCTACACTTAGGTAATTACTCACTCACTCGCACACATACTCATTTACTCACACACACACAGTCACTTCCTCACTCGCTCTCTCTCGCCAAACATAAACTCACTCTTATATTCACTCTCTCTCTCTCTGACATTGTATCCACAGTATCTGCTTCCTTCTCTTGCTATCATTCGGATCTTCTTGGTTATGGAATCTTATCTCCAACATGTCATAAACTTTACTTATCATCTAGCCTTTCTATATATGCTTTTGCAAAAACATACATGAAATTTTGTAAGCAAACACAGTATATTTAATGTAATATAGTCTGCTTTTACCTTTGTACATGTTAAAGTTATTTATTAATTACAGAGTTTTTCTCTTATGTTGACTCAAACCTAGTTTAATCCTATCATTAGTTGCATATTTGTTTTGTGTTTACCAGTGATGATTAAACAGGCCTTACAAAAAACAGTGCCATGTGGCAAATCTTGGGTTATCATAGGATAGCTGTTGTCGTTAATCCACTGGGGGGTTTAGGTGTGCAAGAACTCACATGACAGCCTCACTATTTTTATATAGTTTTGAGGGATGCTGTAATTTTAGTTTGGTAATTATAATGAAACTTTTAAACATAATGAAATGTTAGAAACGTACTGTACTGATTGTATTGTACAGCATATGATCCATGAGCTTTATATATATCAATTATATGTGTGCAGTGAGTTTTCGGTTTTAAAGTACAACATTTTTATTAGTATCGGGGTCAATAATTCTTACAGCACAAATGCATTATACACTGGGACTGAAAAAGGGGGTGGCTGGCACTTCATGCTGAATGCCATTTATTAAGCTACATTAGAGCCACATAACTCTTACCTCCCTGTCTAGGAAGCTTGGCAATAAGTTTTACATGTAAACTTTTTAATAAAGCTTTGTTTTTGTTTTTATAGTTAATTTACCAAGTGATAAATGACACCGGGAGTTCAAACGTTTATACTAAGTGTAGAAAAGACAATGCTGCTAGCAAATATGAAATATTGGGAAAATTCATTGAATTTCTTAGTAATAATATTCGGTGTAATAATTATATATTAATAAAATATTCGGTGTAATAATTATATATTAATAAAATATTCGGTGTAATAATTATATATTAATAAAATATTCAGTGTAATAATTATATACAGTATTAATAAAATATACTGTTAATTATATTATATATATATTTTTTTTTTTGGCTATACAGCACAAATGTTGCCCTTTCCGTTCACTGCTTACGTGGACTGAAATTAAACCATAATGCAAAAATTCACACATTTAAATAGGTATGACAATTATCAATACGACATTATTCATTTTAACTTAATAAAGAACATTTTTAAGAGGCATTAAATGGTATTTCAGTTTACAAGCAACATGAAGTTTTAAGATGGTTGCTCCTTGAGCATGGTTAAGTTCTGGAGATACATTTTATATAGCTCAGAAATGATAACATGAGGGGTCTTCTCATATACAGTAATAAAAAGATCAATCCAGGATGAAGGTGTGCCTCTTGTCCTATATTTCAGGATCCTGGGATAGTGGATATAGGAGAACCAGTCCTGATATACAATGTATAGAAAGCAGATGGGTAGGGGGAGGGGGAAGCATGATAATGAGAATCATGAGGAATCATGATAATGAGAATCATGAGGAATCATGATAATGAGAATCATGAGGAATCATGATAATGAGAATCATGAGGAATCATGATAATGAGAATCATGAGGAATCATGATAATGAGAATCATGAGGAATTGTACACTGCTAAGGAAAGGATCAAGAGACATGGCCACTGAACAATGACAGAGCTATAAAATCTGTTAGGAACAGTTGGCATTTATAGAGATAACCAACACAGAACTGCATTGATTTATCACCAGGTGGCAGGAAGAAGGCTAGGAAAGAGGAGAGGATATATGCCTTTGTGGTGGTCTGATTTGGTTATAATTCCCAGGAGCAAAAATGATGGCAAAGTTGATAAAAACTTGTGCATTATTAAGCACTCCTCTTCAAAATGTTACACATCTTCTTTGGTGCCTTTACAAAGTATTTTGGTAGCAATATCTGAAAACTGTTCATAGTCATAGCTGGTGAATGTCTGTGCCCCCCAAACACTACAAGATGGTATCTCCATTAAAACTTATACAAAAATTATTACAAATTAATAGTATGCCTATAGGAGTACACATGAAACTAATTCACCAGGAATACAGGCAACTAATTAACAAATATAATAAACAAGAAACTAGTTCTGCAATGCAAGATAATTCAAGCTCATTTGTTAATTGAAGTACTATATGTTTCCATAGCTTAAATATTTAGAAGGGCTGTAATACCATAGAGAATTGCGGCTGTCAAAAGAATAGTCCCGAGTTTTTTTTTTTTTTTTTTTTTTTTTTTTTACTTTTTTTTCTTTGAAAAGAAGATTTTGAGAGCTGGGCATGGCAAATATGCTTAGATGTGGTTAAATCTCTGTACAGACAGATTCTCTTGGTTGTTGCCAAGAGAATCTTGGCAACAGAGAATTTTGCTCTATCCTTCTGCACCTATTTTCATTAATGAAATGTTTTATTTTTAACCAGTAGTTTAATCCATTCTTTTTCTATACCAGTATCCCTAGACATTGGTCATATTATAGTTTACTTAGTACAACTGGACTGGAGGCTAAGGCCAGATTGTGGGGTTACTGCCAGTTGTAACAGGCGATAGCCGTACAGTGTAAGACATTAAGAGTAATCACACAAATTTGCTTTTTAAGTACCTCTAAAAACTGCATGAGGTTCACTGCCAATTAACTTGAATAAGTTAAATTTCACTGTATGCATATAATACATATACATTACTGTAATGTACTGCGTGCATTTTCCGAGGACTGACACGTACAGGAGGTAGTCCCGGGAACAATTCCAATGACAGTTAGACCAATACACAGCTTATGACCTGATAAAATATACTGCAAAAGCAAAATCTCATACATGATAAGGATCTACAAAGAAATTCAAACCACCACAAAAAGCAATGCAAAAGAATTAATCATGCATGCAAGTTATAAAGAAAATATTTAAACAAAAGTAAATCAAGCCGAGGCATTTTAATTACAAACAAGCTGCTTAGTGTTGCAAAGGATATACACAATTTATATATACATTACAGAACATTTGAATCATGCACAAGATATGCTAATTACCTTCACCAATTAAATAGAATATGCAGTATTTACATATACACATTTATTTACATCACATATACCAGTAACAAAAATGGTGAATTGTATGATAGAGAAAAGGTGGAAACTAAGTAATGGCTTACCTCCTCGTTGGAAGCCAAGAGGCGCCGGATGTGATTAACGAATGATGGAAGCAAGACTCGTCGACAGTCTGGGATCTTAAAGAGTTCACTGTGAACGATTTCATTCACAGTCATCAACTTTTGCTTTGGGATGCGCTTCTGATCAAGGTTATCGATCATCTTCACAAGGATGCAGCTGTCAAATTAAATTTTCACATTTTGCAAGAACACTTTCAATGTTTCAATGATGCACAAATATAACACAAAATGATTGAAAATTCTTGCCTAAACATAGAAGAGCAGAGAAGCAGAAATTACAGACATGTACAGAAAAAAAATATTCAATGATGAAATATTACCTTTCAATGCAGTAAATCAGCTATCAATATGGAATATTAGTAGTCTGTATGAAATGAATACTCAAATTTACCAAAATAAACGAACTTATTTTAGTTTACCTCATTGTAACAGGATCAAAATTGGTTATGATGTCAGGAATGGTTGTAGTAATGTACTTGAGACAATGAGCCTGCACGGTGAGAGTGGTGTCCAAAGTGTGCTTCATCATAGAGGCCATTGCTTCCAACACCTTCTGCAGACTCTTCTCAAATTCTTCCTGCCCTCTACCATATAATCTGCCAGGACAAATCCAATGACATCACAATATGAAGCATAATTAGGTCTAAAATAGAGCATTGAGAATAATTCAATGTTCTTTCATGGGGAATACTCAGTGGTTCCTCAGAGATTATACACTGGTACCTCAGGGCCTATACATCTCACCAGGTAACTCAGATTTTCTCATAGCCTACTGTAAGCAGGAACCCAAATCTTTCACCCTAGCAGAGGTGAGGGAGCTGAGGGTGTCATAAGACTGAGGCGAATCATAAATTTGTGTACCTCAGTCATAAGACTGAGGTACACGAATACTTCTCTGAAGTATTCGTGTATCTTCTTTCGGCTGACTCTTCTTGAGGCTACCCTGTGCCAGGCACTGCTAGTTGGCCCTTGTGATGCTATGTAGTGATTGAAAGAGCTTAAAGTTTATAAGAATGAACCTTCCAGAGATAATTTTGTCCAAGAATGAATACTGGGTATTTTACAATGTCTGCCTTGCACAAGCATGACCAAGGAGGCATGTTTTAAAAGATGGCTGGAGTGTCATACAGAATGTCAAACTGCATCATACATGAAGCTGTCCAGGGGTCCAGCAGGACCCTGACTAAGGCAGCAACCAAGTGGTATAACAGAAAAATACAACATATTATAATTACTCAAAGATAAAAATTATAGCTAAACAAAGGTAGCAAATCATAACTACACAAAGGCAACACATTATAGCTACACAAATGCAACAAACAGAAAGCAACGCCTCTCTACTTAAATGACTAATTCAACATATTACCTCACATAAGTAGTTTCACATGACATTAATCCAAATTTCATTTAAAAAAAACTTATAATACATTCAGTTATGACTAAAACAACAGTGAATCTCCTTAGTGCAATTAATGTGGAAAGAACCTAAAGTCACGTGCATGAACACAAGCAAATACATAAAGTTATATATAAACTTACTCAACAAAAAGTTGCCTGGAACGTATAATAAATTTGAAAACATACTGAAGGCACTTCATTGCTTTCTTCAAGGTCTCCTGTAGATCTGTGTTCTGACCCTCTTCTACATAGTATTTTAGGACATGGATCAACTTACTGAAAAGACATTAAATTAAAAATTACTTCCTATTAAAGGTGCAGCCAATGACCTCATGTAAATGTTCACATTCCAAAATACCAACAAGGATATTAATTTTATCAGGTGCAACTTTAGATATAAAAAATACAGATATGTACAGTATTGGGAATAGATATCATTCCTACAATCTAACAATTATAAACTGAAAGAATGCAAAAACTTAAAATTGTGAATATTGAATAATATGGAACTTGCTGCTGTCCTGCAAAACAAAGTGATACTAGCAAGGTATTCCTACCAGAAATACAAAATAATGCCTTACTTGTATGCAAGGGTAGCATGGAAGTTTTGTTGGATGTACGTGTCAAGAACTGGCTGGAATGCTTCATGTTTGTTTTTGTCTGTTGCAATTGTTATGACGTATATCTTCGAAAAAAAAAAAACAATCAGTGGGATTAAAAAATAAGATATATTCTGGGCATGACACTGATGTTCCCTAAGTCAACTTCACCAAATGTACTAGATAGTATCTTGATAGTCATTACAGAATGTTTACTCACTCACACACTCAAAGCCTTTCCAAGCACAGCTTGGCATCATCAATCTGTACACCAGTTGAGAGGCGGGACCAAAGAGCCAGAGCTCAATCCCCGCAAGCACAACTAGGTGAGTACTATAAAGTACACCTATTAACTCTCTAATCAAACTGCTACTACATTCTCACCTAGCCACTTGACATCTAGTGTTGGCTATTAGGGCACCATAGCTAAGACAAGAGCCTTGAGCTCTATCATACACTGACATAATGAAAAAACTCTGCATACAAGAAAATCAAGGACTCAAAGGCTTGAATGTACAAGTGTCATACTCAGAAAGTAGCTTTTCAAATTCCTGAGCTATTCCACTAAGATGCTCCATGAGGCAAGAATAATGCCAAAGTAGCTATTAACCACTAAGCCCAACACATATCAATGCACATATTGCAAAGACTTCCACTGATGTTTCAGTGCATTATTTTGATTGCCCTTGACTGTGCATGATGGTGTGCATGAAACCAGCAGGATTTAGCCTAATGGAACAGCTAAGGAATACTGTATTGCACAGAAAGTAGACCATTAAATATGATTATGATTACTAAATATGATTATAAATAATTATGATTACTGCACGATTGCTTAACCAGGACATTTTCCATGGAACAAGCATTCTTAATCAGAATGAGATGCATAAAGTTCATTGGGCTTTGTTAAGTCGAGGTGCTATACTTCCCTTTTAATATGTAAAGGTGACAAACAAATGCAGAACAGCAATGAATTTGGTTGATACGGGTACTAGACACAGTAATAAGGTGCATGAGCAAATGAATTATGTTCAAATTATTTATGCATCCAATTTAATAATAAAATAAAGTTGAAACTGATATAAAGTAAGGCTGAAGGCATCGTTAACTTCAGGGTCAAACAGTGCTTTAATATGTACGGGAGAACTTTATCAATGGAATTGATGGAATACTCTGCAGTGGAATGCAAACAGAAAATGTTTTTGTCCTCATAAATTGTTCATTTCTACAGTTTTATACAGCCCCCAATGTAAAAAAAATTTTTACACAAAGTAATATATAATAATGTGACTAAAAAATTCACACCCAACCCATACATCAAAAAATAAAGTATCTACCTTATTTTCAGTTGCATGGGTTGGGTGTCTAAAACAAATGTATAATTAAAATATTAAAAAATCCATTTACCAAAGCTTCGAACACTTTATTGTCACTGTCATCATCTGTAGAGTTGTTCATGAGGATTTCTAGAAGCACATCCAGAGTGTCCTGCAGGAAAACCATCAGCTCCTCTGGGGGCACATGGCGAAGTCCTTGAAGACACGACTCCAGCGTGTCTCTATTTTGAGAGCCACTCCAACCCCACTCCAACAAGCGAAGAAGTTCAGCTGAGTAAACAGGAATATAAAACTATCAGTGTTTTCCTTCCCTATTAAAAGTAACAAGAAGACAGATGACTTAATGTTAGCAGAGTAAAACAGGTGAAAGTTTCAGCATGACATTAATAATCATACTCTATGATACCCAAAGCACCACATTACCATTTTGTGTGAGTTTTGTTGAGCAGAAGGTGGTGGAAATTGTGAAGCTGTCCTTCAGTGAGGGGGCAACACCATGATTCCATGATTTCACAATTTCTTCACCATCAACTCGTTGCCAGGGTAGATTGAGATAATTATTGTCATTATCGTTCCATTTCTTTCCATCAATCTTTAAATAAAACATAAAAGGCTTTGAGTATATAAAAAACTCATATAAGAGCAAGCCATTTAGTTGCTACCAGCAACTTACACTTCTTAACATCACATACTGTAGCACACCTCATGATTTTAAAATTTTGCTGATAAAATCGTGTAACATATAATACACATTCTTAGGTTAACTGAATTAGTATAGAATAAGGCATGTAGAATTAGACATTTAATTTAAAGCTCCAAAGATGAAAACACAGATCTTTTCCATTAATTGCTGCTATATATAAAAGCTAAGTTCTTACCTTATAAACAATCAGTTCATGTTCTGTGTTAAGTAATGTCGTCCCATTATTTTGCATCAATTTCACGAAAGACAACGCAAATGGCTTCTCATTTTTATCCTTCAAATCATTGGTAGATCTGAAAGAAGAGGAACAGTTCCTAATTACCCCAACATTCTATTTAATTACCAGTAGACTTAAAAACCTGTTAGAAGCGTTTGCACATGGAAGATAAGTGTATTCAGATGTGGAGAAATAAAAAGGAAGTGAGGAAGATGCTCATTCTCTCTGAGTCTTTGTGTTAGTTCATCCTCCTCCTTGGGAAGTGAGTGTTGCCTCCTCTTGGGAGGTCATTTTCCTGTTTTGACTAGGGTTGTGCCTGTCTTATCTTCTTATGCCCTCGCAGTCTGCCCATTGTGTTTCTTTCACATGGGCAATTTTAACCTACAGGTCTGTGGCCTAGGTTCCTTTCTACCGTGCCTCAGGCACCCACACAAATAACGTGGGTACCATGCTGAGAAGCACACCTAAAGCATGGAAGACTTCCTGTGCTAAGACAGAGCCCAATTACGCTTGAGATCTTATCTGTGTCAGAGATTTGCCGCAGTGCCAAGTTGAACTACAACTGACCCCAAGCATAGCATGAGGTGGCATTCCTCCCTCGCTCCCTTTCCCAGCCCTGGTGTGTGCTGGTACTGCAATATGATTTACTTTATAATGTATCAGAGCAGCAGTGTCTGCAGCAATGACTGATTGTATTGTTTCATTAGCAACAAGTAGTTGCTTGTTTGGAGCACTTTTATTTTCTGGCAGATTTTTTCTCGGCTTTTGAGGCAATCTCTGTCTAAATGTCTTCTCCTCTAAATGTCTTCAACAGGGTCAGATTTTGGCTCTTTTCTGTGGCACGCATTCGTGGGTCTAGAAGCCTGTTGTGTTTCTCTAAGGGCTTGGTCATTGCTATGTTATAGCATAAATAAGCTACAAAGTGGCAAATCAGAAAGAGGCATTTCACTACATTAAATGCTGGATTTATTTTTAACAACATTATAAGGTAACCAATTAAAGACATAACAAAAAAATATTATTTATATGTCATTTACCTGTGTCTGAAAGTAAACTTGACATGAGCCTTCTTAAATTCTTCAATGGGTAGAGCAATCTTGAATGTTTCTGCCCATCTTGGCTTGCCTTCGTGATGGTATGTCACTGAACGGTATTCATCAAGAGGTCCTTTGCCACACCCTTGGTGTATAACACCCTACAAATGGCACAACAAAACAAATTATTAAAACCATCAAAATTTTAATATATAATTATGATATTTATTTATGGCACATAGGAAAGGAATACAGTAAGTGATCTTTGTATTGTTTCCAATTTTAGGATTGTACAAAAAATGTTCAATGTAATTAAATTTTCCTTTCAGGGTAGCACCCCAGAAGATCTGTTCAGCTTATGTCACCAGTATTAATAGGACATGACAAACACATCAGGTTCCTCTCAGGTTCCTCTATGAATATTTTGACTTGCCAGGGACAAGTACCAATGCAAACTGTCCTGCCTCTTCTACAGTTCTGGAGGCTCATGGGGATCAGAGATAAACCCACCACCGAGTGAAATGCCATGAAAATTCAAGAAAGGCAATCAAAACACACAACCACTCTCAAAGTAATGTAATGTTTAGCAGTATCATATCATCAAACAAACCCCAAACAATGTAAACCACCTCTAATCTGCTATTTCTGGTTAATACCAGGTGGTGGTCTAATCCACTCGAGGCTTGAGAACACTTCCACCTCTCTCTCAACCCCAAGTGAATTCCACTAATATGAGCAGATGGCATCATTCCATTTGGCAAGGCCAACTCAGTACCTCGTCTAAGCATCCTCACCAGTGCTTCACAGAGGAACAATCACTGCAAATGAAGCTCAGTCGATTAAGGCAGCGTCTAGGATGCTCACAGACGAAGGTTCGAATCCTCGTCACAGCCCTTGTGGATTTGTACATCCCTTGTATAAAACTATGTAATAATAACTAAAATTAACATATGATGATAACCACATTATCCCAGGAATCAACATATGATGATAACTGCACTTTAAGGGTTAAATACTGTGATTTTTTCATAACATGATCAATAGTTTGCTTATTTGCTGTTAATCGTACTTTATTTCTATATTAAAATTTTCTAGATTAATATTTAAAGTTTGTCAACCATCTTAAAACTATACACAGCCTTCTATTACTTACCGGTATCATATTCCCTTTCTCATCACAAATTCGAACAGTTACTTCAACATTGCGGTCACAAGTTTTAGCTCCTCTTGCAAATTCTCCTGCCAAAATTGTTATGTACAGGTCATTGCGTACATCTCCAGGCATAATTACATCAGACAGACCCAAACGAAGAGATACAGGAACATCCCGAAGAGCAACATAATGTGAGTTGTCCTCTTGAAGCTGCAAATATAACTATCATAATCAGCAATTCCTTAATTACCTCGTAACAAATTTTATCTGCAGTAGTTGCCATGCTACATGTTTGTCATTCACAACTCAAGTACTGGGCATATTATGATTTCTCACACATCAACATACCTATCCATCTTCTTTACCTTCCTCTCCTCTCAAATTCCTCTAATATATGTACTCCCTTCACCACTAATTCATCATCCAGTCCTTCAATATGAAAATATATAATAGAATCCACTCAGTCTTCCAAATTACAGGCTATGGAGCTTAATATCTTTAAATGACATACAGTAATTGATCTCTGCTCGATCTCTCCTAATAAAACACATGCTCCTCAGACTGTCAATCTCAACTGTTTCAATCTCAATTTATCAAATTCATACAACACAAATGTTTCATGCACACACAACTGAGTTTGAACAATGACTATGAACATCTCTTCCTACATTATTTGTTTCCTTTATTTTGTTCCTATTTCAATGCACCAATGACTCCTTACCCAGTCATTGAAGATGCTACATGAAAATCTTATTTAATACAATACTCAGTTTACAAAAACAAGCGCCTGATTTGGATAGAATATTAATCAACTGTTACTGCCACTTCCTGATCCCACAGCCATTCCTCTCATATTCCACCAGTCTGTGCAACTCCACACACACTTAGTATTCTTATCTATAGATTCTTTGTACCCATTCCACAACAAAGACCTGATAAAAACAAGTCCAACTTTCTAAAGTTAAACACCTAAACATATTTCCATAAAACGAGTAAACAGTTCTGAAAATCTCCAATCTTAGTTTCCTCTCACCAATATTACCTGTTTTATATCTCCATTAACAAGCTGAAATGTAAACCTGATTCCTTGGAAGCCTGTCTTGTTATCTCGTACTGTATCACTACGCGACAGTAGTTTCTTCAGATCCAGAGTTTCTTTTTCACCGCATCTGAAGTAGCAACATTTGAAATTAGCCTGAATAAGATCAATGCTTAAATTACTTATAGAAAAAAAGTAAATGCTGGAAAAGTATTGTTGGATAAACTTAATACAATACCAGAAAAAAGAACTACAGTATTATTATTTCTTGGGGGGGGGGGGGATAAAATGGTCAGCAAATAGTGGCAGTAGATAATGCAGGTGCTGCAATGCAACATTATTTTACTGGGATGTTTGGTGTAGAGACTAAACAGTGCAACAAGTGGCGTGTGAGAGTATGCAGTGGTAGAAAGCATAAAACTCAGAGTAATGTGATTACAGTGCAAATAATAAATCCCCACATCAGAAACAAGCATAGTAATATGATGTTTATGTCCACTGTTGTCCATTTCTGAGCTGAAACTTCTAGTTAATAATAGAGTTCTATTACTGGGGACAAGAAAGCTTATCCAAGTCCTGCAAGACCAATGAATTACTTTCCTTGAGAGAGGATCTACAACATTTGCCTTAGGAGTTCAGGAATGTGTTTTCAAACCCATCATGGAGCTTCAATATTTTCTCATAGGTTTATTGCATTCTTGTGACTTCATTATGAGTACATCAAAATCTGACTTCCATTTCTAAAATACAATCCCTATATTTATTTTAGTTAAATTTGTCTAAATTTGTCTAAAATCAGCAACATTTTTATTTAATAAAATCTGGAACAAACTCACGGGTGGAATACAGCAAAGTGGTGTATATCTTCCTGTCCGTCATTAGCTGACTTAGCAATGCCTCTTTGTTGCTTGATGAGGGGTGTGATATCCATCAATACAACACCAAAAGGTCTGAAAAAAATCTGATATAAGCCTCATATTTATATCAATAAAATACACTGAACACTAGGATACATTACCTATATTTTACCTTGTCTCTGATCTAGCTAAATCAGTTGTTCCCTGAGTAACCTATGACCCTTATTCTTGGCTTCTGCTGCTCAGGCTATTATTTTCCCATTTTCTGCTCATTTCTCTATAATATTTTTTAACACGTTTCCTTCTTCCTTCCGTGGGAGCTGGCTCAGGGACCAACCATGGGACTAACTTAGAAATAGAGAAATGAGAATATTGTCATAGTATTTTCTGGGCAGTCTCTTGATTACTCCCATTCTCTCCTTATATGTTTCAACTTTTCCCAGCATAATGGGGTGGTGTGGGGTTTTAAGTGAAGGCTTCCACCTCCCCCAACCCTATTTATATGTAGCATACTGCCATCTAGTGGCAGTTTGAAGCAGTGGTCCACTTGGTAGTTACCAAAGTGATAATTGGTTTATCTATTGATCCCCGGGTTTCACTTTAAGGAGGTATACTTTTAATTTTCTTCTTTGTCTGACAGCAACTTGCTCTCAACCAAGGAACTAGTTTTAGTATTTTGTATTTCAAAACTTATACACTATCTCACTGGATAATTCACCGCACAATTATGCTAAATTGGATAACTAACCTTCGCATTGAGTCATTGGAGGTAGTTCTCTTGCACGATACCGATGAGATTCTACGAGGATCTACTTCTTTACTAGCCATGGAGCCCAGACGAATAACTGAACCTATCAACCACAGATTATTTTCATCTAAAGCCACTGTGCTCAAGTCCTGTAAAGAATATGAGTTGATTATGAACTTTAAACTGTATGCTTAAACACTACACAGCATTCCAAGGGCTACCTTTATTTTATATTTTTCTAAATTATAGTATTAATTAATATGAATGTGACTATACATACCCACAGGTATGAGCATACCTAGCTGTACCTATGGGAAGCAAGATCTAGCTCTTGGGGTCCCATTACCTAGCTGTAAGCCATTTACAATATTTATATATTCCACAGTACTTCATTGTACCTTTTTTTTAAGCTGTGACTAGAGGTGGATTCCACCTTTACTGCATATGAATACTTTCCTCACATCTTCCTTACTCATGTGTTCTCTTGTTTAATTTCCCCCCATGAAATACACTGTCCATTCCCATCATCTATTCCCCAGAATTCTGCATGTTGTCATATCTCCTCTGGTTCTCTCTCCTATTATTAGAATAAGCTTCCATAACTTGTCTTCATAGCCTGGCTCTCATTACTGTACCAGTATAGTTGCTAATCTCTCAACATTTTCAATCTTCTTACTGTACTTTGGGGATCCCATGTTTGTACTGTGTATTCAATGATTTTTTTAACATAGGCAGTGTAAAGGGTTCTGATTAGTTCCTGTTTAAGTTCTTAAAGTATTCTGCATGTTTGCCAATTTTGCATAGGCTGCCAATGTTGTTCTGTTTACTTGCACTTCTGACATTATAGTTTGTGTGATATCAATACCCAAATACTACTGGTTTATCTAATGCTGGATAACAAGCAGTATTTGGACACTGTATTAATGTTTATCCATAGTGTGGTGGTGGTGTTTGTTTGTCCATAATGCTATGTAGTGTGGTGGTGTTTACTTGTCCATAATGCTATGTAGCATCCATAATACCTAGTAGTGTGGTGCTTATTTATCCATAAATATGTTAAATACAACATATGCTATGTTGTATTTAAGGCATGATGAATGTACGAACAAATTTTCATAATCTATAACTGGAAAATGGAGTAAAGATTATCAATGATGAGCACGCATACATCATCCTAAGTTTTAACATGTTTGTATGAGAATTTTTTCTTTTGAATCCACGCACCAAACTACCAACCTCATATGTGAAAAATTTTCAGGTCTCTGATTTCCTTTATCTTTAAAACATTTATGAGTAAAGTAACTCACAATTACAAATCACATTTCTTACTGTAAAAAGACACTTCAACTTGATCAGCAGATCTGGATGGCTATTATATCCATCGTCAGTCCAAGGGATGATGAATGCTTCAGTTAGCGGCTTTTCTCTACCTTCGCGAGGATCTCCAGTGTACAACCCAAGTGAGATCTCAGAAGGCTCAGGAACCTGGCAGGGAATACAAAATAATTAGTCCCAATCAGAGTTGTCCATATCATCATGTATCTCACATCTGACCGCAGGAATTTTAAAAAATCTTAAAACTATGCAAACCTGTAATTTTATTTCCGATCATTTCCAGCTACCTAACTTTGCATATATGAAGGAAGTCTACCACAACCACAACCTTACTTGGCATAGTGTCTAATTATTCTTTAAAAGATATTAGTATTTTTAAGACTCCAGCTTAAAAATAAACTGCATGCCTTTCATCATTCTGATAACTCCTTCATATGCCTATCTTCTTCTTGCTTTATGATACATTTACAGCATTGTATTGCTAACACCATTCCTCTCCTCTGTCCTATCCTAAATTCTTATTCTCACCTCTCTTCCAAGTGCTATATACATGTAGTCATAATGGCTTAGTGCTTTCTCCTGATTATTTTATCTCTCCATCCTTTCTTCATAAATTTATATTTCTTATCTACGAAGTACTGTAACTGAATACTGACGTATTTTCCAGACAGATTAATTGAGATTACAGTAGATCCAAATTATTAGACAGTTTAGTATAGTACAGAGATATTTGTAATTTATTATTTTTTTGAATGTAATACTAATAAGTATGTCTTTATTAGAGTAAATAACAAAACATGTTAGACATACAATATTTTTATATCAAATTCACAGAATTTTTATTTTATACAAAACATGCCTTGATCAGAGCTGATTAATAAATGTATCCACAGCCATTACATCCTTATAACATGAAAGATTAAGAATTGGATAATGTATATTGAAACCCCCTTTTATAGTGGCTCCCATTGGCTTGTAAAGCAACATCTGGTACCACTGAGCCTCAGCTCAATACAACAGGCATCTGTGACCCATCGTGTTTACCAGGAGCCGAGACCGGAATTTGGCTCACTCTGTGAAGCTAAGGGAGCTACTTAGGGGACGCTCCCAAGAAAAACAAATAATGGAGCCAAACAAAAACTCATGTCTCAGAGGAAAGGATATACCAGACTAGAAAGAAGACAGTGTATTTAAAAGACAGAATAAAGGATTACATGCTTTAAGGATCTATAGATGTCTTGTGAGCAAGACAGGCATGTTGATGAATCAGTAACAAGAATCACCTTGTATAGACAAAATTCTGCACCAGTGTCCTTATGTACAATGTGTAGAATTGAATGACTTGGACTCTTACAATATTTATATGTAAGAAAATACTTTCTCTACACTGTATTACCATAGACTGTACTTACTTTAATTATAATATTTTTTATTGACACAAGGGCTGTCCATGCTAAGTGTGGTCTTCGTCGCAGAGATGATGCCCGTGCACTAGCCGATTCATGCTGAAAAATCAAAGATAAAATAATACAACATGATAAATGAACGTTCATCATAAATGTAAATTAGTGACATGTACAATAGAGAAGGATATGCCCCCACAGATCCCTACAAGTGCATTATGCTACACAGCAGTGTATTCCACCAAATAAGACTTATCAAAAACTGCTCTCCATCCAAACTCTCAACAAGTCGAGCCTGGCCTCGGGCCGGGCTTGGGGAGTAGAAGAGCTCCCAGAACCCCATCAACCAGTATCCAGCAGAGAAGCAAAGACTTATGCACTATCCAGGAAGAAGCCCCTCAATAGAAATACTCCATACCCAGCGGTCTGAATCGCTCTCAGGAAAGAGTACCCTGGTGGAAGGCAGGAGCAATGGTAACAGCAGCTAAGGAGGAAAACTTGATCTCAAACAGCTGTAGCAAACACTGAACCAGAGCACACAAATGAAGGCACCAAACACACATTACATTCATCCCCTGGTCTTTTTCTCTTATTGTTTCTAAACATTGCTTTCTTCTTATGGTGTAGTTTCCTACAGTGTTGCCTATTTCTCTTTCCTAATTTCATCATCTTTCACTTATTTGGATTAAATTTAAGCAGCAATTTATCTTTCCACTCCTTAAGTTTGTCAAGGTCTTCATTGACTTTGCATCATTTGCAAACATTGACTCATCTGGTCTGTTGATGACATAGTTTGATGCAACTGATAATACTTGCCAAACTTCAGGGCACTTATTTACTGCTAGGTAAGCAGAAGCAGCAGGTGAAAGGAAACATGTCCAAATGTCTCTGCCCTAAGTGGAAACCAAACCTGATATCTTTTAGTTGTGAACCAACTGTACCGACTACTTCTCTACAGGATACATTACAATGATAAATCAATCCAAAGGAATGAAATGAAACTGAACTCAACATCAGAACAGCTATAGCTGTTCATAGCAAATTGGAGCCACTTAACTTTGTCAGGATATTATTGTTCAATGTCAGGTATGAATATTCTTTACCTTGCGAAGTCGTTCTGCAGCTTCATCATGATGTCGGAAGAGTTTGACTGCTGAGGTAATATCATGTTTGAGGATGTTTCCACTTTCATCTCGCACTACTAAATCAAGCCCCAGCTGTCTGAAATTTACAGTACATTGCTATTAGAAACCATCATTGCTACATTGCATAGGGACGAAGATGTAATTTTGTCTAAGCCCAAAATACAAATCTGAAAATTAAGAAAATGGGATGTTTTGGTTGTCCTGGATGATGATCAAGACTTGTTAATGGTCCTGAACCAACCAAAACATTGTTTCTTCATTTTCAGATGTGTGGATATTGAATCAACACTTCATTCATGCTATTGTGATTCATCATTTGCCCAAAATACAAAATTAGGATAATAAAATAACAAGAGAGCTACAGTAATTCAATGAAAGTACATTAAACTAAAAATTAAAAGTACAGAGCATGGTTAATTGCTTGTGCGCCAGCAAAACTGGTACTATAACCTGGTCCACTATCAGAGGGAAGAGAAGCCTTGGGATCTAGGACCAAGACAGTACCCAGACATGGATACTGTCTTAACCCTAGATCCTATCTAAACCCTCACTGCCCTTCTCTACCCAAAGGACACAAGGCAGCAGAGATATGGACAAAAAGTGTATAATTAGTTTTTTCTTATTTTATATATGTGTAGAAATTACTTACGCATTGACTTGATCAATTCCATGTGTAATGCGGTGCTTTAGTTGCTTGAGTTCATCTCCAGGCAACTGGCCAGACAACACCCTGCTGCGTAAAGCTATAAGCTCTTTCATAGTGTCCCGTAACAGTTTGAAATCCTTGCTTCTCTCCTACAAAATTATGTATATATTTAATCAAGTACATATGACAAATTCCAGAATATTATATCTTGGTATCAAACTACTCTTAATATGTTCTTCCATATACAAAATCATTCATCATTATCAGTACAGTAGAACCCCAAAATTTGATAAATGTGAAAAATAGCCAAAACAGTGCAATTCTTAAGAAATCTTAATTATTTGTAAACCTGGACTTTTTGCCCTCCCTATCTCATGACATCTGATTCCTTTCTCTATCTATACTCCTAATGCCACACACTTCACACATTATCCATTTATACTGTTCCAAACTTGACTTTCACATTCATACTATACATTATAATTCAGGTACAGTATTAATTATTCTGATATACAGTATATTGCACTGTATAATAGAATAACAAATAAAGTTGAGATGGTGTTAAAATGCATCCCACTGAAATATGCTTACCAAATAAAGCTTTCGTAATAAAACTCCCCATTCTCGTAGCACAGCCGTTACTTCCTGAACGATGTGTGGGAGGCGAGCAGTAACTACCTCAACTGGGCCAGTTTTGTCAACAACACATTCTCGAATCTAATTTAGGTCATGGGTAAACGAAATCAAAGGTTACTACATAATTAGAGTTATATAATGCACTAAATTCAGACTGAAATGTTAAGCATAATCTATTCTATAACAAAATTCAAGCATTAAATGTAATGAAACATCCTTCACTAGTGGACCCACAATAACTTCCTCAAGCTTGCAAAGCTGTACAGCTAAGTCTTGCAAATGCACCGGCCTCAATATTCAGTGTATGATTCCTACATAAATCACAAAAAAGTTATTTATATGATAAATTTAAGGGGGGTTATTTTTTATTCAATTTGTTCTCTTTTTGTTTCAGGCAGATGTTCATTCTGGAAACTGTAGGGTGGCACCTAAGTATACACCTAGAAGAGGTTTATTATGGTAATCAAGCACTGTCCATGAACTGGCACCAAAATCAGTCCCATATCAAATATAAATTCCACCAATGCATGGTAAACACTGTGCTGCTATGAAAGGCCAATGGTTCCCAAAGATTGAGTCACCAAACATGACTAGTTTCTAATCAGATACAGAATGAGAAAAAATTAATATTGCCAAATATGAAAACATAACTAATGAGAAATGATGCACCTTACAACCATGCCCCATAATAATAGATCTAAGTGCTCAGTAATTCCAGAGAAATGAACCACTAAGCACTGGAATACCTTGCATCTGTTTATGACATTAATATGCTAGTCTCCGGACACCCAAGGAAACAAACATTTGGGAACCAGATCTGCTATTTTGTGTTGCTCAATAGTGTGAAAATATATAGGTATTATTATTCATTATTATTATTATATATTTTAAACAAGAAACAATGGGTAATTTTATTACAGATTTTGATAAGTGGTACGGTACAAATGGGTTACATATTTCACTGTATGGAGACTGGCACATGAGTCTTGACACACATGTACAGCATTCATCCCAGTGATATTTTATAGAGCATAATCTCCTCTTTGGAATAAGAAGAGTTTCTTGAAAAAGACTACGAATAAGTTTCTTGAAAAAGATTACGATTAAGTTTCTTGCATAAGTCTTGCAAGAAACCTACAGTAATATACTTGTTTTAGTCTGAGAATGACTAAAACTCTCATAAGTGTCTAGACAACTTTAGCCTATTTTTTCAATACTATCACTACCTTTGCTACAGTGTTAGCAATTATGAATTTCTAAGGAAGGTAAGGCAGTTATCAGGAGAGAGCATTAAGCTATTACAACTACATGTATAGATTATTTATTTTGTCAGGGACAGGCAGCCTGTGTATTTTATATACTGTATATATATATATATTTTTTTTTAATGTATTTAAAAAACTTCTTGTAAATATCCTTAATGAAATGTCTATCATTATCAAATAAATGTTGGAAAAAAAAAACATTACACTGTACCTGTATAAATGCCTTTGGAAATACGCCTCGGAGAGCCTTGTTGTAATGTGCATACCCAAAGAACCATCCTCCCAACTCTTCCAGGATTTGAACGGTGTCACCAACATTAAGTGTGATACAGGAATCATTAATACCACTGAAGTTATAGATGGCTGAAAGAAAGAAAGAATGTGACATAATAAACTATACTAAATGTTCTATTATAAAATACTGTATAAATTGTTTAATGTCAGATATATTTAAAATTAAATCCGAGTCATAAATAGTACTGTACTTCACTAAAAACAGCTAGTAATATTCAGCATTATATTTACTCAGGATAATATGGAATAAGCCTTATTTAATGGACAATATTTGGTTTCTAAATAAACACTACAGTATTTCCTAGGCCCTGGCTTTTCCTATTTCCTGGTTTTTTCATCTTTACTTATGAAATTCTAAGTTTTAGGTTGACAGGTGTAGTTTTGGGTAATTTAAAGTGGGGTATGGTCAAATTGTACAGAAGCTTTTTGACAGCTCATTTTTGGTCAAAACCATATTTATCATTAGGTTAGGCTGTGTTAGGTTACACTGGGTTAAGTTGAGTTAGGTTAGATGAGGTTGGGTAAGGTAAAGTTAGGATTAAGTTAGTTAGGTTAGGTTGGATAGTGTTTGGTTAGGTAAGGTTAGGTTTTGATGGATTGAGCTAGGTAAGGTTAAGTTAGGTTAGGATTTGGGTTAGATTAGGTAACAAAGTTAGGTAAGGTAAAGTTAGGTTAGATTCTGGTTAGATTAGCTAAGGTTGTGTGGGGTTAGGTAAGATAATTATCAGTTGAAAGTACTAAGCCATTACGACTATATAGCCCTTATGGTATAAATAGGGTTAGGATTACATTAGGTTAGGTTGAGTTGGAATTAGGTTAGATTAGGTAAGGCAAAGTTAAGTTAGATTAGATAACGTAAGAGAAGGTGTAAGGAAATGTGAAATTAGGTTAGGCAATGTAAAGTTAGGTTAGGCAAGGTAAATTTAGGTTAAGTAAGGTAAGATTGGGCTTGGGTTGGACTGGGTAAGGTTAGGATAAGCTATATTAGGTTAGGTAATGTTAGGTATGCCCTAAAATCCCTTGGGATCCATCGTGTGTACTACAGGACATGTCCATTTTGCGAACTTTACGGACTGCATCTGGCACTTCACCCTCACAACCCTTTAGTAGTAACGTGTAATTCCATCTCTTATCTTCAATTCTCCCATAATCAGTGTATAAAAAAATATTTCCAACAGAGAAGGCAGTCGTGGAAGGGAAGGCCTACAGGTTGTATATTACGTCAGTGAGTTTTTTTTTTTACATTAAGGAAGGACGCCCCCGGGAGAGCTTTCCCTTGAGCTGTAGCTCCTGCCTCGCCTGCCGCTCACACCACCCACTTACCCACGCCATACTTCTCCCTATCTCTGGCCGGTGTCCAACTCATCATCGAATTATGTACATTATCCTACTCGAATCACTAGTTTCCGGATCACTAGCTTCGCATCCTGTGTATTTGTAAACTAACTAGTCCAAGATAAACAATAAACTCTAAGGATGACATTTCAAGAGGATCAAATGCGATACGAAACAACAGAACTTGATTCTTTAGTGCATTCTTGTCGTCTTTTTTATGGGAAAATGCCTTTATGATATGCAATCGAAATCTTTCAAAAGTTATTATCAATTTGATACTTGTACATATAGGCGGGTCTGCTGGATATCTAATGTTGCCGGATACAGTAAGAATCGAGTAAAATAATTATAATTATGCTTCTTACAGAGCATAAATGTGACAGTAAAGCAGTTATTATAAGAGGACTGTTGCAACTCTTAATGATGTGACCAATACTTATTATTCACAATTATCACTTAAATACACATATAAATGATTTTGGTTAAGGTTCGACGGTAGGCAAAAATCATACTTTTTACTGACTACACAACTTATGTATCACAGGCAATTAATACGCTTGCAAAATATAGACCTAGACTAACTTCACAGAGGGTCAGGACAATCGGTTCACAAATAAATGGTGTCCTGGGTTCGGGTTCTTATTTAGTGCTGGGCTTACGAGGCCTGATTATTTTTTTAATTTTTGTTTTATTCATATATACAAGAGTTCTTACATTCTTGTACAGTCACTAGCACGCATAGCGTTTTGAGCAAATCCTTAATCCAAATATTCTCTGGAATACGACCCGCCAAATCGTTTAACAACCAACTGGTACCCATTTTACTATTAGGCAAACAGAGGCTACAGTTAAGGATTGGCGCCCAGTCAATCCTCCCCGGCCAGGATACGAACCCAGGACAGAGCGCTAGTGACACACCAGGCGAGTGTCTAACCACTACACCACGGGGGATATAACATATGGTAACATACATGGGTTACTGGAAAAATCCAACTCTCTCATACTGTGTAAATGATTGTATATATATATATATTTACATGTATATATAACATTAATAATTGTGTAACTAGCTTCAAAACATTGTCACGTGCTTAGGTAAATGAACTATAGGGCCCTGAACCCATTATGTGCCTCTGTAACACTTTCCACCACCGCCCACGGGATGGGTATGGGGTGCATATCAAGAAAGAAATCTTGAAAATGTGTTCAGATTTTTATATTACTGTGATATTTAGCCTTTTGAACTGTAATGTGGAGAATTGGGCTACATAGACGTTGCCTAAACTCTAGAGTATACAGAGATTACAATTGCTCTTTTGTAATACCCTGACAAAAGGTTACTATAGTGGATCCTATGGTCAGGTGGCAGACGCCACACCTTCACCTGGGTTGCCAAACTCCACTTCTAGCTCGACCAAACAAAAATCTCCTTAGCCCTTCCTAAAACTCTCCACTTGCCTTAGAAACCAACTATGGAGCCATAGCAAACAAAAAATTGAGCTATGTACGAAAAAAGAAACCCGGTTTTCTAGCAAACATACAACCATAGAGCCCTAGCAAACAAACCTGAAACACTAGTACACAAACAACCCCTGAAGCACAAACATGCACGCACCGAAGCCCGACCATGCACAACCCAAAGCCCAACAAGTCACACCCCGGAATCATGTAACCGGAACCCGAACCAGTAGTGTACCAGACCCCAACCAGTTGTGTAACTGCAAGCCTAGCATGAACGAACCAAACAAACAATTCAAAACAACATCTGAAGTACAACCATGCACGAACCGAAGCCCGACCATGCACAACCCTTAGAACAAGTGACACCCCCGGAGCCCGACCAGTTATGTAACCGGAGCCCGACCAGTTGTGTAACCGGAGCCTGATCAGTTGTGTAACCGGACCCCAACCAGTTGGGTAACTGCAAGCCTAGCAAGAATGAACCAAACAAAAAACATCTGAAGCACAACCATGCACCAACCGAAGCCCGACCATGCACAACCCTTAGCCCAAGTGACACCCCCGGAGCCCGACCAGTTATTTAACCGGAGCCCGACCAGTTATTTAATTAACCGGAGCCCGACCAGTTATTTAACCGGAGCCCGACCAGTTGTGTAACCGGAGCCCGACCAGTTGTGTAACCGGAACCCGACCAGTTGTGTAACCGGAACCCGACCAGTTGTGTAACCGGAGCGCGACCAGTTGTGTAACCGGAGCGCGACCAGTTGTGTAACCGGAGCGCGACCAGTTGTGTAACCGCAAGCCTAACAAAAACAAACCGAACAAAAAACATCTGAAGCACAACCATGCACGAACCGAAGCCTGACTATGCACAACCCCCAGAGACCGACCAGTTGTGCAACAGGAGCCCGACCAGTTCTGTAACCGGAGCCCGACCAGTTCTGTAACCGCAAGCCTAGCATGAACGAACCGAACAAAAAACATCAAAAGCACAACCATGCACCAACCGAATCCCGACCATGCACAACCCTTAGCCCAAGTGACACCCCCGGAGCCCGACCAGTTATGTAACCGGAGCCCGACCAGTTGTGTAACCGGAGCCTGATCAGTTGTGTAACCGGACCCCAACCAGTTGAGTAACCGCAAGCCTAGCAAGAACGAACCAAACAAACAATTCAAAACAAACAACATCTGAAGCACAACCATGCACCAACCGAAGCCCGACCATGCACAACCCTTAGCCCAAGTGACACCCCCGGAGCCCGACCAGTTATGTAACCGGAGCCCGACCAGTTGTGTAACCGGAGCCTGATCAGTTGTGTAACCGGACCCCAACCAGTTGGGTAACCGCAAGCCTAGCAAGAATGAACCAAACAAACAATTTAAAACAAACACAAAAAACATCTGGAGCACAACCATGCACCAACCGAAGCCCGACCATGCACAACCCTTAGCCCAAGTGACACCCCCGGAGCCCGACCAGTTATGTAACCGGAGCCCGACCAGTTGTGTAACCGGAGCCTGATCAGTTGTGTAACCGGACCCCAACCAGTTGTGTAACCGCAAGCCTAGCAAGAATGAACCAAACAAACAATTCAAAACAAACAACATCTGAAGCACAACCATGCACCAACCGAAGCCCGACCATGCACAACCCTTAGCCCAAGTGACACCCCCGGAGCCCGACCAGTTATGTAACCGGAGCCCGACCAGTTGTGTAACCGGAGCCTGATCAGTTGTGTAACCGGACCCCAACCAGTTGTGTAACCGCAAGCCTAGCAATGAACGAACCAAACAATTCAAAACAAACAACATCTGGAGCACAACCATGCACCAACCGAAGCCCGACCATGCACAACCCTTAGCCCAAGTGACACCCCCGGAGCCCGACCAGTTATGTAACCGGAGCCCGACCAGTTGTGTAACCGAAGCCTGACCAGTTGTGTAACCGGACCCCGACCAGTTGTGTAACCGCAAGCCTAGCATGAACGAACCAAACAAACAATTCAAAACAAACATCAAACAAACATCTGAAGCACAACCATGCACGAACCGAAGCCCGACCATGCACAACCCTTAGCCCAAGTGACACCCCCGGAGCCCGACCAGTTATGTAACCGGAGCCCGACCAGTTGTGTAACCGGAGCCTGATCAGTTGTGTAACCGGACCCCAACCAGTTGAGTAACCGCAAGCCTAGCAAGAATGAACCAAACAAACAATTCAAAACAAACAAACATCTGAAGCACAACCATGCACCAACCGAAGCCCGACCATGCACAACCCTTAGCCCAAGTGACACCCCCGGAGCCCGACCAGTTATGTAACCGGAGCCCGACCAGTTGTGTAACCGGAGCCTGATCAGTTGTGTAACCGGACCCCAACCAGTTGAGTAACCGTAAGCCTAGCGAGAATGAACCAAACAAAAAACATCTGAAGCACAACCTCTGCACGACCGCAAGCCTGCCCGACTATGCACAACCCCCACCCCCCCGGAGACCGACCAGTTGTGCAACAGTAGCCCGACCAGTTCTGTTACCGACCAGTTGGTAAGCCCTGACCAGTGTGTAACCGCAAGCCTAGCATGAACGAACCGAACAAACAATTCAAAACAACCAAACAACCTCTGAAGCACAACCATGCACGAACCGAAGCCCGACCATGCACAACCCTTAGCCCAAGTGACACCCCCGGAGCCCGACCAGTTATGTAACCGGAGCCCGACCAGTTGTGTAACCGGAGCCCGACCAGTTGTGTAACCGGACCCCGACCAGTTGTGTAACCGTAAGCCTAGCGAGAACCGAACCCCAAACAAAACCGAAATCTGACCAGTTGTGTACGACCGAAGCCTGACTATGCACAACCCCCAAGTTAGGAGCCCAACCAGTTGTAACCGGAACCAGTAGCCCGACCAGTTCAACCCTAGAGCCCTACCAGTTGTGTAACCGCAAGCCTAGCATGAACGAACTGAACAAACAATTTCTAGCAAACAAAAGACAACCTAGTAAACAAACCTGGAGCACAACCATGCACGAACCGAAGCCCGACCATGCACAACCCTTAGCCCAAGTGACACCCCCGGAGCCCGACCAGTTATGTAACCGGAGCCCGACCAGTTGTGTAACCGGAGCCCGACCAGTTGTGTAACCGGACCCCGACCAGTTGTGTAACCGCAAGCCCCAGCAAGAATGAACCAACAAAAAACATGAACTGAAGCACGACCATGCACGAACCGAAGCCTGACTATGTAACCCAGAGCCCGACCAGTTGTGTAACCGGAGCCCGACCAGTTGTGTAACTGGAGCCCGACCAGTTGTGTAACCGGAGCCTAGTGTAACGAACCTAGAATGACAAACAATTCAAAACAAACAACCATTGAAGCACAACCATGCACCAACCGAAGCCCGACCATGCACAACCCTTAGCCCAAGTGACACCCCCGGAGCCCGACCAGTTATGTAACCGGAGCCCGACCAGTTGTGTAACCGGAGCCTGATCAGTTGTGTAACCGGACCCCAACCAGTTGAGTAACCGCAAGCCTAGCAAGAATGAACCAAACAAACAATTCAAAACAAACAACATCTGAAGCACAAACCATGCACGAACCGAAGCCCGACCATGCACAACCCTTAGCCCAAGTGACACCCCCGGAGCCCGACCAGTTATGTAACCGG